CATATCCAATATCTCTAGTGAGAACTAAAAGTCTTCATATCCAATATCTCTAGTGAGAACTAAAAGTCTTCATTATAAGTGGTGTCTACTGTCTGGCTGGTATCAGTTGTGCTGAGCTGTAGTTCTACTCACGGAGCACACATCCAATATCTGAGACGGTATCTATATGGAACAAGCTCCATATCCAATATCAAAAGTGAATAAGTGATGTCTAGTCAGTTGAGCTGTAGTTCTAATCACACATCTAATATCTGAGATGGTATCCGCTATCTATTCCTGTAGCTCGAGATGATATATATCCATTGTGTTACTAGGGTTACTGTTACTAGGGTTACTGATATATATCCATTGTGTTTATTATTCACGAGCCGTAGAGAGACCAATCATTTGATGAGAGTACTCTTCTCGGACATAAGATTAATTATAATAACACAGATATTCTCATTCATTTACCATACTCCCACAGATACGTATCTAGATACGTATCTAGATATTATCTAGATATCTCTACAGAGTGCTGTATGTTATTCAGACATCAAGCAGATGTTAGATTTGATGTGTTAAGTAGAGAGAGAGAGAGAGAGAGATGTGCACTTGTTGTGACGTCTTATCCTAACGGATTAATAATATCGACCTCACAGTTGATAGAGATAATAGTGGTAAATACTAAATAGTGCCCAACATACATAAATACTAATAGTGTAAACGTTAAACAGAAAGATGTCAATAGTTAACTTTATTATTTTCAGGTATTATTACTGGATTGGAGACCGTTATCACGTGACGCATTCTTCTACGGTATTTCTATCGTCATGTTCAGCGCATTTGCGTGGGATGGTGAGTACTGTGAAATTTATAGTAATTATTAATTATTATCTATAAATAATAAAGTAATAATTATTATGAAATTGGATATCTTATCTCATTTCTTAATTTATACTGCTTTTAGGTGTTTTTTAATTGGGGACTGGCCCGAAGAACCAGACAATGTTTACTCAAATATATTACATAATTACATAATTACATAATTACATAGTTAACTCTACAGTCTATGAAATGAAATGAAATGAGGTATTCATATCCCGCTCATATGATTAACCAACTACACAAGGAAGCTGATTAACCATGTTATAGAAATATATATTAGAAATATACATTCAAATCCTTGTTCACCTCAAATAACTGTTCATAATCCTGTCAGTGTTAAATAGCCACAATGTGACACTGTATTGATTTTGAGCCACCTTGTGCACAATTCCCGGATCCATACTCTGGAAAGAAACCCAACCCTTGGCCCAGTTCCAGAACTCTAGATCTACCATGAAACTCTTCCAGAATTGTTCTAGAGGCTTCCACTTTTAATGAAATGTTCATATTTAATACACTTACTAGTGAGTTCTTCTTACTAAATTGTTCACATCCCATGAGGATAGATTACAAACACACCGACAGGTACGTGGTAGTCGATACTTCTGGGGTTACAACTTATTCATCTGTATAGTGTATTATTAAATATAGGAAAATGAAGACCTTATAGTCTTCCGTAAGAGCTGCGATCATCTTCGGATTGCAGGTTGTATGCCTTGTGGAAATAGTGCAGGAGACCAGCAATCAGGGGTTGAAGAAACCGGGGGGGGGGGGGGGGGGGGCCATCGCCCCCATAAAATTTGGGCAAGGGGCCAAAAAGGGCCAACTTTTAAATTTAGGTTTCTAATTTTTTTCACCATGTCGAGGTGGAAATTGTGCAGAAGACCAATAACTCCACGATAGCATCTAATGCTACTTCTACTGTACGTGATTATTGCGTACTAAAACAGGGCCCAGGTGTGTCAGTGAGTGGTAATGGTATAATTTAATCCTGTCGAGCGAGAATTAAGAGTTTAATTAATCAGTTCTGGGCCCAAATTGTTAAAGATAACCAACTTATTGCATTCAGTATTCTATCAAGCTGTACAGTATGTAGCAATGTTTGCAAACAGGGGTTGAAGAAACCGGGGGGGGGGGGGGGGGGGGGGGGAGGGGCCATCGCCCCCATAAAATTTGGGCAAGGGGCCAAAAAGGGCCAACTTTTAAATTTAGGTTTCTAATTTTTTTTTCACCATGTCGAGGTGGAAATTGTGCAGAAGACCACCAACTCCACGATGGCATCTAATGCTACATCTACTGTACGTGATTATTGCGTACTAAAACAGGGCCCAGGTGTGTCAGTGAGTGGTAATGGTATAATTTAATCCTGTCGAGCGAGAATTAAGAGTTTAATTAATCAGTTCTGGGCCCAAATTGTTAAAGATAACCAACTTATTGCATTCAGTATTCTATCAAGCTGTACAGTATGTAGCAATGTTTGCAAACTGCAGGTTTTATATTTGATAAAACGAGTTATTAATTTATTGGTCACGTGATTTATTGGTCGCGTGATTTGTTGGTCACGTGATTTGTTGGTCACGTGATTAGTTGGTCACGTTATTAGTTTGTCACGTGATTAGTTGGTCACGTGATTTGTTGGTCAGGTGATTTGTTGGTCACGTGATTTGTTGGTCACGTGATTTGTTGGTCACGTGATTAGTTGGTCACGTGATTAGTTTGTCACGTGATTTGTTGGTCACGTGATTTGTTGGTCACGTGATTAGTTTGTCACGTGATTTGTTGGTCAGGTGATTTGTTGGTCACGTGATTTGGAGTAAATGTTGAGATTGATACAAGATGGATAGATGTTCAGATTTTTTAGGAATTTTGGGTTTTACTAACTTCTTAGACTTATGTCACTGAAGATGACGCCTTGCAACATGTTTGACGATAGCCTGTAAATTGATAGTTTGATCTCAGTATTTACAAAAAACCATCTAGCTTGATTGATTCAAAGGGTGAACAAATCCCAAGATGGATAAACTTCCGATCATAACATGTTAAAGCTGGGTTTTATCACGTATTGTATTATAGTATAAACTTAAAACCAAGACAACCTTTCCCTTGCCCACAGTTTCCCAGAATATATTTGTGATTGTCTGATCATTATATCTCCATACGTTTAACAGATGCAGTCAAGCTGAGCACCGCCGACCAATCAAAGTAAGGATCTTAATTCGTGACGGGTGAGATATTGGAATGAAAGCTTAACCAGGAGATTTAAAGCTTTAAAAATAGCATCTTTATCGGTAAAGCTGTTATATTAGCGAAACGTATCTGCTCTGATAGCACTAAATATAATTAAAATCTTTAATTTGTCTAAATTGATATTCAGTCTGGAGATTACTATTGCATAATATTTAGTGTATGAAGGTAGAGGAGACAATGAACCACTTTATTTTACCGGGGTAAGCACAGGGCTCCAATACTCTATCTTACAGTGGTCATGATCTGTCCAATAGTGATAATGAGCACAGCCCCCTACGAAGAAGAAGATGGAATCATCCTTATTTCAACTGTAGGATTACCTTGTTAACCACTGTCCAGGCACGTAGCCAGGGGGGGGGGGGGGGGCTACGTGCCTGCCACTAGTAGTAAACCCGCGATGGGGTGGCATGTGCCTCAATAAAAATATTACAGTCATTTATTATTATATCAATTTATCATTAATTATCTCAACAATATCAATAACGTATGGTTGATTCTTCACACTTAGTAAAATGTATAAAAACAAAGTTAATCTACACTAAAGAATGAATAATCTATATTATATAAATCAACAATATTATCTCCCCATCTTCTTGTAGTCATTTTATCAAAGCGGTAGAAATCCAAGTAATTTTAATACGCGGTGCTATCTCACTGACCCCTAGTTAGGAATAGTATATAATAGAGGCTCTAAGTTAGAGTTCTAAAGAATATAAAATATATATATTTATAATATATACATATTTTATCAACCTAATATCCCCCAATACGCTCCCCCACTTCCTTTCCTCCCAGGCGACACATCTTAAGTTAATCTGGCAGCTAATCTGGCCTTTGGGTAGTGTCACGTGACCAAAAGGTAGTGTCACGTGACTCAGGAAGTGCCACGTGACCAGTATCATGACAAGTATGACACTTCCTCCGCTGGATATGGTCTCTGCATGCAGGATACAGTTAACCTTCTTTTAAAGCGAGGGGATATTAATGATGGCCAGTGTCTCGCCAGCTCCGCCTGGATTGTGTGTTGATTATTTTAGGAGGAGGATGCTGATTAATGAAAGTGTGGAGAGAAAAGTTGTTCTAGAAGTCAATAACAACACCAGGGTTATGAGGGGTATGCTGATTAATTACAATAAGTGTGGAGAGTATGAGGGGTATGAGGGGTATGCTGATTAATTACAATAAGTGTGGAGAGTATGAGGGGTATGAGGGGTATAAGGGGTATGCTGATTAATTACAATAAGTGTGGAGAGTATGAGGGGTATGAGGGGTATAAGGGGTATGCTGATTAATTACAATAAGTGTGGAGAGTATGAGGGGTATGAGGGGTATGAGGGGTATAAGGGGTATGAGGGGTATGAGGGGTATGGTTCTTTCAGAATCATCTGTGGTATTAAACTTTATTAAATTTATAATTCAATAAGCTATCATAAACTGTTCAAGTCAATTTCGATTTCACAGTAACTTCACATGAGCAGTCATGTTATACAATTTCTTCTCATTCCTTGAAAATATGGTAACTATGGTAACGCAGGTTGTTACTGAGTAACTTTTGGAGGGTACTCTTTCTAATCTTAACAACGCGAATAGTAACTATGGTTACTACTGTTAGTAACTATTGTTAGTGGTTACTATTACTAATGTCTCATTTATACCCTTATCCTCCTCGCGTCCTAAGAATTAAAATAGCGTTTCTTGTGTATAAAATAATTGTTACTAACTCACCTATATATAAGAATGAAATAATGTGCTTGTATACCGCCCATATGGTTAGCAACTAACACAAGTGTCAGGTACTAACCATGTCAGAGCGGTTCTAAAAGGTGAGGTGAAAATATCCATGTATAATATATTCACATATAAATATTGCTAATATAATATTTCAGGAATGTTCACGTGGTTAGAGAGTCTGGTGACGCTACTTTACTACGGTATTTACATCCTGGCTCTTAAGTTTAACCCTGCTCTCTTTAAGCTGCTGGACATTCTCGGAGGGTTAGTTTCTCTTTCTCTTTAGGTTTCTCTTTCTCTTTAGTTTCACTGTATTTTACGATTAGTTTCACTGTATTTTACGATTAGTTTCACTGTATTTTACGATTAGATTTAACTTTAACGGTTAAATTTTTATATTTCACAGTTCACATTTTTTAGATATTGTGTATTGAATAATATCTCGAATATTTTACATTTTACCCCCCAAACTGCAAGTACTGAGTCTCGTCTTCAAAACATCGTCTGCAATCTCAGATATTGCTCATTTTATGGTTTCCCGAATACTGAATGTCTGACGCTTACTTGAGTAGCAATATTATATGCTATAATATAATACAACATTATAACCTGACGCTACTATTCTGTCTACTGTAACAAGTAACATTACTTGGTTTGAAAAGATATATCTAGTTAATCTAAATACGTTATTAGAATATCTTCTCAAAAAAACAAAACCGCCCTCACGTACAATGGTACGAAATGTTCACCATTTCCCTGTGTTACTCAATGGAGTAGAGAAACTCGCAAAAAAGGATCCCACAAAAATATTGGAATGGCGCCAAATACCTGAATACCACGCTTTTAGTATGCAAGGAATTACGATTTACAAACAATGCTACCAAACTCTCCCACAACATCCTACATGTGGCTAATTAATTAGTGGCTAATACCCAGTGGGCGAATACACTACCTATAGCTGTGTAAGAGTGTAGGAGTTCTTACAACGACTGTAAAGTACATGGGCCAGAATGTACTTTACAGTACGGAAAAGGATTGAAGTTCCTGATTTGGACTGATCGTGCTAGTAATTCACTTGTTTTATCCAGCCACATGGTAAAGTATACCTACACATGATAAACCTTAACACATAAGATTGTATGCATCCTAGATATGTTGTTCTCATATAACATGTTCAACTGTTCAATCTCCACTTTATTTGCATCTTAATTATTCATTCACATGCTCATAGTTGTAGTTATTCACCTGCATATTCATATTACATCCCCTCTCGATCAGTTCACATACCATAAATACCACACACTCCTCCCTTGCGAACATGCTAGTATGACCTGTGAAATGTGAACTAATAAAACATTATTAAACCTCGACCAGGGAGTAGTAGTACTTAACTAGTAATATATAGTATATATACTATATACTATATAGTATATTGTATATATTGTATATATTGTATATATTGTATATATTGTATATATAGTATATATTGTATATATTGTATATATTGTATATATTGTATATATTGTATATATTGTATATATTGTATATATTGTATATATTGTATATATTGTATATATTGTATATATTGTATATATTGTATATATTGTATATATTGTATATATTGTATATATTGTATATATTGTATATATTGTATATATTGTATATATTGTATATATTGTATATATTGTATAGTACTAGTATTATTTGTATACTCGTTCTACATTTATTCATTTTATGCCTGCAGCTACGAGGAGGTCGAGATAAACAGAGAGCAAGTGTTCTCTCCACTCGAGCTATCTCACTTATTGGAGGCGTATTATTTGAGCGAGTAAGAGAGTTATACATTGGTCGTTAGATTTGAAGTGAGGTGATCGAGCAGCCAATAACAGGCACTAATTGAGCTTGACGTCATGGCGGTAAGAACTATCGGTGAAACGTAATCAGTTTCTGTCATAATTAGCCATGTTAATCCAAGTTGTTATACATGCGTTGCTTGACGATGACTCTCTCTTCTCCAGCGCATACTGTGTGGTTTGTAGTGTGAGTTAGTTTAAGCGGAGACTGGAACCTTGGTCAGTCGAGGACAGTTTCTATTTGGTTCTGTTAGGTATTTCGAATTCATGAGGTAGATATTTGGTCAGGACTGAAAATTTAAAAGCATGCATCAACTTAATGGAACGCGCGCAGGTTTAATAGGTGTTTTAATCTTGCACAAAAGTTGGTATTCGACGCGCGCAAATTGCGCGTTTGCATGTGCATCAAGCGTGGTCGGAAAAGAAAAGTTGACTCTGGGAAAATTAGTTGCTTGCACCAAATGTTTAGCTTACTTCGAAAGCACGAGTAACCGATTTAGAGACACGCTGTTTTTACTTTTCTACTTGGGTGGCCATACATCTCAAGTCAGCATACATTTTTAATGGGCTGATGATATAAATTGTCTTCGATTCGGTGACTTTACATTAATAGCTGCTTTTTTTTCAGATGTCTTTGCTGTATTAAAGATGTTCCTCATGCTGAAGCCGAAGAAGTCGAAAATACAAAGGTATGACTTTTAAATCTGCAGGTTCATGGGGCTACAATAATTTGAGATATTTCCATCCTCCCTATTCGTTAAACTGATAATTTGAAGCTGCTAATTGCTGTTCTCACTGTTTCTACTAATCAGGTTCACGTGTTATCGGATAATAGTATTGGACCAGTTGTACAAGTTACTCCTCCAACTGATAATAATAGCAGGTAAAAAAGCTCGTAATTATTCAATTATTAAATAATTATTTAATAGTTATTTATTAATGTGTTTTTTAAAGATAACAGCTGATGATTGTGAATTTGGTTCGTTAATATTTTAACGTGTCTGGAGAATGGCTCTGTGAACTTTTCACTTAAAACTTTAATTAACGCTGAATAAAATAAACAAAACATTTTATATCCCGCTGTAAATGTGAAGCTTAGTAATATTAGTGGAGGTCACGTGACATTAACAATTTAACACCTGTCACTAAGCGCCCTTTCCAAGCTCATTATTTAAATTTATTTCTCTATTTGAACTGTTAAATAGTCCGGTTTTATCCCCCACTATTGATGTGTAGTAATACTAGTATACTCGTTCAGTGTCAGTGTCTCCTATGTGCCGCTCCGGTAAGTGACGTGCTGCGCTGGGAACACGTTGCCAGGGTAACCAGCGCGGTCACCATGGTAACCCGTTATATGATGAATGCTAGTTAAACTAATTGATTAATTATTCGATTAAATTTTTCAGCTGAATGGTAGCTTGTTACTATTTGATTGATGGAATATTTGATAAAGGAGCGCTTTTATAATCTAATAAATGATTCTTCTCTGTATGTGATGCTGTGGAATAAAAAATAAAATAATATTAAATTTCTCAATTATCGGTCAATTGCATGATGTGGTAAAACTATCTCGGAAATGTGTTATGATCATGATATGATTGTATTGAATGAAAAATAAACCGCTTTACATGTTATTGAAAATAGTTGGTATGGAATGTTGTTAAAACTGACCATTAAAATATGTTAAACATGTAAATATTGTAAAGGAGCAACAATGGTAAAGCATGAGGGCTGAAACCATGGTATCAGCAGAAAATAATTTAAAAAGTAGCGATAAATCACTTGCTACAACTTGCATACTTTAAAATAACATCTCTACAACGAATGACGTCACAACGAATGACGTCACAACTAATGACGTCACTATTTCAGTGATGTGAGGGTTGAGATGTACCCTAAAGGACTGGGGGTTCCCATGACAATGATGCGGACTCAGAGCTCAGGGAGTAGCGGTATTGGTAGTATGACAGACGATCCTCCTCTTCATATAGGTACACTTATATAGGTACACTTATCTGTTCATATAGGTACAGTTATATAGGTACACTTCATATAGGTACACTTATATATGTACACTTCATATAGGTACACTTATATAGGTTCACTTCATATAGGTACAGTTATATAGGTACACTTCATATAGGTACACTTATATAGGTACACTTATATAGGTACACTTAATATAGGTACACTTATATAGGTACACTTATATAGGTACACTTATATAGGTACACTTATATAGGTACACTTCATATAGGTACACTTATCTCTTCATAGGTACAATGTACATGTGTATTGTGTAATAGGTACACCAACATTTCACTAATTATTTGTTTAAACATGTTTTAATAGGTTCAGTTGTCAGACATTGCATATTATTTCTTAGTTGTCTTGAGATAACTCAGGGGCGCAATGTCAAAAAGTCTCGTTGTCTGAAAGTCGCTATCTTACATACATTTTATTTTTTCGCTCGATTTGTTGCAACTGGTAATTGGACAAGGGATACTATTGCTTCACGAAATTAATTTCAATATCAAAATCAGTCGATAACACGTTTTATTGGCAATCAGAAATAAACAGAACAAATAGTTGAATGTTCAGCAATGTAAACTTTTGATAAAGGACGAAAAAAACACTAACCTACGCCAAACATGAAATACAAAACTAAAACCATTTACCATCACGGAAATCATAACAAACACAAATAAAAAATAAACAAGACAGACTATTCAAAATGTACATGTTGTGTTGAACACAGATTGTGAAATAGTCCTGAATGAAAAACATTGGGTCTCTTAATCTTCCTCATTCTTTGAGCTGTCCTTTCTTCTATGTTCCCATTCGTTCACACCTCAACTGTCTCCATCACTGTCCCTGTTGTATAGTAGTTAATACTCCTTTATAAATAATTAAAATGTCCCTGTTGAAAAATAATCATTACTACTCCGTTGATACACCATACTCCAACTATCTATTACTGCTTTTGATTAATAAACCATAGTACTCAATCATTCTAAAGGTTCATAATTAAGTATCGAAAATCAATATTCACGTATAATTGATCAACAACAATAAAGCAATATAAGTTAGAATTAACCCAAATATCAGGGACACGAATGACTACTCCAGGATTTAAGAAACTAAACTTTCAACACTGAAAACATTCAATATAAGTTACCGTTATTAGAGATAAGGTTGGTGACAAGCTGGTAAAACCACCGTATCTTCAACCTTAGCCACTGCCTGAAGCTCCTCACAGTAGCACAGTAGATGATGAAGTTGCTGACTATATCAAGGAAGCTACAAGATAGAGCTAGTCTATAGTAGGCAGGGACAAAAGGATTTCGCGATTATTTTGGCCAAAAATCGCGGTACCGCGAAAGTTAACAGGCTATACATTAAACTATACATAAAATTTGTCGCGGAGAATGGGAAATTTCGCGATTTCGTACATGCCGCGAAATCCTTTTGTCCCTGATAGTAGGTAGTGTGAACGGCAGATTGTTTCTCAAAATAGGACGCAGTTATACGGTAGATCGCGTATGGTAGGACGGATATACAGTAGATGAGAGCTGTCAGAGAGACTGTGGCGATTCCTTGCCATCTTGGTGCTGCCTGGCAGCGTGTTGAAGTTATCCTTGATTTGATCAGATACCTGATAAGCAGAGAGGTTGTGATGATGACTATAGTTAGTGGGACTAACATGAAGATCCCAATCAGCACTGGCATTAGGTACTTCCAGGAACTTGTGTCAAAACTGTTACTGTAATGCTGATAGCTGAAGAAGACGTTGTCTCCATAAAAGGATATCAAGGTAACTGGCAGACTCAACAATAAAGTCCAGACAACAGCACATCCGATATGTGCATGTCTTGTTTCTACTGACCTAGCTCTCAAAGGAAAATGAAGGACAACCAGCTTGGTACAAGTCATGGCGCAGATAAGGGACATTCCAACAGCTTTGATATAAAATGAAGAGTAAACCTGTACAAAGCTTAACCATCTTCCTAGGACCCAGTCATCAGCTATCATGGATACTATCATGGGCAGAACGGGAGATACAATGCAGAACAGCAGATCACACACCGTTAAATGCAGGATCATAACCACCAGGAGTCGGTTGAGTTTGAATACTTGGTATTTTATGGCTGCTATGAGAATAGTAGTGTCTCCAATGAGGGAGGAGATAAGAACGAGGAGACAGTATCCTGCCCACGTGTATCTCGCTGCTGTGCTCTGAATTCCGTACACCGTTTTATTGGAGTAGTCGTGAGGTACAGACATATTGAAAAGAGCCCGGGCAAAAAGACTGGAGAAACAAAAAAATTAAAATGTATTTTACTTCCTCCCAAAATTAGTTGGTCTTGAAGTTCCCAATTTTTCTCTAGGCAAGTATTACTCATTCGCAGATTAGTCAGTTGGCACGGGTATTCACATTAGTAATATGAAACTGCGAAGTGCAATAGCCATGAGATTTTAAATTAGCTAGAACTCCTGATTTCCTGACAATGATGATTTCAGTTCTGGATAAATTTGACACTTCTTGATCCTAGTGTAATGCTATATCATAGGTCGCGGTAATATTTCGAAAATCATTAAGTTTCATGGTAACGTTTAGTATGGTAAGCGTTACTTAATTGGTCGGGAATAGAGTGCTCTGAGTTTTAACTTTTAATTGAAACCAAAATGCCCGCCCAATATTTGAAGAATGAGGAGGTAAGCTTTCCGCATAAGATTTAAGATGATGCTTGCTAATGGTGCCCCCCCCACCCCTCGCATAATATTTAAGATGTTGCTAATGGTGCCCCCCCCCTCCTCGCATAATATTTAAGATGTTGCTAATGGTGCCCCCCCCCCCCTCGCATAAGATTTAAGATTTTGCTAATGGTGCCCCCCCTCGCATAAGATTTAAGATGTTGCTAATGGTGCCCCCCCCCCCCCTCGCATAAGATTTAAGATGTTGCTAATGGTGCCCCCCCCCCCTCGCATAAGATTTAAGATGTTGCTAATGGTCCCCCCCCCCGCATAAGATTTAAGATGTTGCTAATGGTGCCCCCCCCCCCCCCCTCGCATAAGATTTAAGATGTTGCTAATGGTGCCCCCCCTCGCATAAGATTTAAGATGTTGCTAATGGTGCCCCCCCCCCCCTCGCATAAGATTTAAGATGTTGCTAATGGTGCCCCCCCCCCCCCTCGCATAAGATTTAAGATGTTGCTAATGGTTCCCCCCCCCGCATAAGATTTAAGATGTTGCTAATGGTGCCCCCCCCCCCTCGCATAAGATTTAAGATGTTGCTAATGGTGCCCCCCCTCGCATAAGATTTAAGATGTTGCTAATGGTGCCCCCCCCCCCTCGCATAAGATTTAAGATGTTGCTAATGGTGCCCCCCCCCCCCTCGCATAAGATTTAAGATGTTGCTAATGGTGCCCCCCCTCCTCGCATAATATTTAAGATGTTGCTAATGGTGCCCCCCCCCCTCGCATAAGATTTAAGATGTTGCTAATGGTGCCCCCCCTCGCATAAGATTTAAGATGTTGCTAATGGTGCCCCCCCCCCCTCGCATAAGATTTAAGATGTTGCTAATGGTCCCCCCCCCCCCGCATAAGATTTAAGATGTTGCTAATGATGCCCCCCCCCCTCGCATAAGATTTAAGATGTTGCTAATGGTGCCCCCCCCCCTCGCATAAGATTTAAGATGTTGCTAATGGTGCCCCCCCCCTCGCATAAGATTTAAGATGTTGCTAATGGTGCCCCCCCCTCGCATAAGATGTAAGATGTTGCTAATGGTGCCCCCCCCCCTCGCATAAGATTTAAGATGTTGCTAATGGTTCCCCCCCCCCCCCTCGCATAAGATTTAAGATGTTGCTAATGGTGCCCCCCCCCCCTCGCATAAGATTTAAGATGTTGCTAATGGTTCCCCCCCCCTCGCATAAGATTTAAGATGTTGCTAATGGTTCCCCCCCCCCCCCCTCGCATAAGATTTAAGATGCTGCTAATGGTGCCCCCCCCCCCCTCGCATAAGATTTAAGATGTTGCTAATGGTGCCCCCCCCCCCCCACCCCTCTCATAACATTTAAGATGTTGCTAATAGTGCCGCCCCCCCCCCCCCTCGCATAATATTTAAGATGTTGCTAATGGTGCCCCCCCCCCCCTCGCATAAGATTTAAGATGTTGCTAATGGTGCCCCCCCCCCCCCCCCTCGCATAAGATTTAAGATGTTGCTAATGGTGCCCCCCCCCCCCCTCGCATAAGATTTAAGATGTTGCTAATGGTGCACCCCCCCCCCCCTCGCATAAGATTTAAGATGTTGCTAATGGTGCCCCCCCCCCCCTCGCATAAGATTTAAGATGTTGCTAATGGTGCACCCCCCCCCCCTCGCATAAGATTTAAGATGTTGCTAATGGTGCCCCCCCCCCCCCCCTCGCATAAGATTTAAGATGTTGCTAATGGTGCACCCCCCCCCCCCCCCCCTCGCATAAGATTTAAGATGTTGCTAATGGTGCCCCCCCCCCCCCCCCCCCCCCCCCTCGCATAAGATTTAAGATGTTGCTAATGGTGCCCCCTAGAAGACGCCAGCAGGTCCAATGTCTACCAATCCGAACCCTCTACAGAACCCGAGGAGAAACCCTGGTCACGTGACCCTGGAGTACACAAGAGCGAGAGTCTGGACTCTGTCTGTGTGGACGACGTTACGAAAACTAACGGAGAGGCGCGGCACAGTAGTAGCTCCTCTCCCGGGACGGACACGCAACGTGACGTCATTAATCTGCCGCGTGACGTCACGCCGCCGCGTGATAAGAGCACGGAGACGGAGGGGGAGGAAGAGGACTTTGATGAGGTCACAGTCTGCTGCTGTGAGGTTTGTGGGATTGTTGGTGGAATTTTTATTTATCCTGTGTTGGACTTTTACATCTTAATTTTGAGGAACTCTCCCCTATACGTCGTGATATTACTAGTATGACCCCCTCCCTCCCCCCCCCTATATTACAAGTATGACCCCCCCCCCTATATTACAAGTATGACCCCCTCCCCCTAACACCTTCATGATACCCCAGGTTTGCCCCAAAGTATTAACCAGCCTGCCAGAACGACCCGCCGGAGCCTGCTCCCTCCTCCGCTACTTCATCAATATCTTCTACTTCACTGCTTCTTTCCCCTTCCAGCTCCTCTTCTCATTTACTATACCTAACACTATGAAACCTCATCTCAAGAAGTATTATTTGCTCTCTTTCGTTGGTGAGTTTGGGTTTAGATTATACATTATACATTATACATTATACATTATACATTATACATTATATTATTATTGTATAGGTTTAGTATTTACTAGTTTCTGTTCCCTGCAGCACGCAGCGACAAATAGAATTAGGAAATTTCAATAGGTATCTTATCTGGGGTTTTATACAACATCACATGTTATACTACATACTACATACTACATACTACATACTACATACTACATACTACATACTACATACTACATACTACGTACTACGTACTACGTACTACATACTACATACTACATACTACATACTACAAACTACATACTACTTACTACATACTACATACTACATACTACATACTACATACTACGTACTACATACTACATACTACATACTACATACTACATACTACATACTACATACTACATACTGCATACTGCATACTACATACTACATACTACGTACTACGTACTACGTACTACATACTACATACTACAAACTACATACTACTTACTACATACTAAATACTACATACTACATACTACATACTACGTACTACATACTACATACTACATACTACATACTACATACTACAAACTACATACTACATACTACATACTACATACTACATACTACATACTACATACTACAAACTACATACTACATACTACATACTACATACTACATACTACATACTACATACTACGTACTACGTACTACGTACTACGTACTACATACTACATACTACATACTACAAACTACATACTACATACTACGTACTACGTACTACATACTACATACTACATACTACAAACTACATACTACATACTACATACTACATACTGCATACTGCATACTACATACTACATACTACATACTACATACTACATACTACGTACTACGTACTACATACTACATACTATATACTACATACTACAAACTACATACTACTTACTACATACTACATACTACATACTACATACTACATACTACATACTACATACTACATACTACGTACTACATACTACATACTACATACTACATACTACAAACTACATACTACATACTACATACTACATACTACATACTACATACTACGTACTACATACTACATACTACATACTACATACTACATCACATGTCCATTGTCCATTTCTATGAACTGTAAAGAATGAAAGAGGTAAATCATAGTACGATATAAGATCAATAATGTGTGGATCCAATTTAGTCCAATAAACCAAGATATACTTTAAAATCAATTTAGTGACATTCGCACTAAAATACAATTACCTGCACTGAAACTTGTCAGAATGAGGTCGGCGTTATTTTATGCCCTTATTTGGAAGTCACGTGTTAAATGTTCATATTTCCAGGTAGTGTGCTATGGATAGCAGTACTAAGTTACGGAATGGTATTGTTAGTTGAGAGGTTCGGCTGTATTGTTGGCTTTAACGACTACATAATGGGACTCGTTGTAGTGGCTGCTGGAACTAGTGTACCGGTAAATCTGTCTGTCTGTCTGTCTGTCTGTCTGTCTGTCTGTCTGTCTGTCTGTCTGTCTGTCTGTCTGTCTGTCTGTCTGTCTGTCTGTCTGTCTGTCTGTCTGTCTGTCTGTCTGTCTGTCTGTCTGTCTGTCTGTCTTCTGTCTTCTGTCTTCTGTCTTCTGTCTTCTGTCTTCTGTCTTCTGTCTTCTGTCTTCTGTCTTCTGTCTTCTGTCTTCTGTCTGTATGTCTGTCTTGTTTTAAACCTCTTTGACAATTTAATGACAACGAGAATAGCTTAGTAAATGAATATAGATACAAATTACTGAATATGTGAATAAGTAAAATAAAAATTGTGTCAACATACACCTGTCCTGGAGGTCATTCCTCAAATAAAACAAACGTTAAATTATAATAGTTCAACAAATTATAAATATACAGAGTCGTCCACAAGTAACCAGGTAACAGAATATCCTGACGTTACTTTAATTCTGGCCCACCCTGTTTGACCTATAAATGCACGCCGCTGCAAGATCGGATCTTTTCTAATTTCTGAGATCTCATCTGCAATATCTTTCACAATGTCAAAGCCTTACAGTGCGTTGAGGTATAGTATCTGCAATATCTTTCACAATGTCAAAGCTTTACGTTGAGGTATAGTATCTGACAGCGTTCATCTGCAATATCTTTCACAATGTCAAAGCTTTACGTTGAGGTATAGTATCTGACAGCGTACATCTGCAATATCTTTCACAATGTCAAAGCTTTACAGTGCGTTGAGGTATAGTATCTGACAGCGTACATCTGCAATATCTTTCACAATGTCAAAGCTTTACAGTGCGTTGAGGTATAGTATCTGACAGCGTACATCTGCAATATCTTTCACAATGTCAAAGCTTTACAGTGCGTTGAGGTATAGTATCTGACAGCGTACATCAGCTCACAATGTCAAAGCTTTACAGTGCGTTGAGGTATAGTATCTGACAGCGTACATCAGCTCACAATGTCAAAGCTTTACAGTGCGTTGAGGTATAGTATCTGACAGCGTACATCTGCAATATGTTTCACAATGTCAAAGCTTTACAGTGCGTTGAGGTATAGTATCTGACAGCGTACATCTGCAATATCTTTCACAATGTCAAAGCTTTACAGTGCGTTGAGGTGTAGTATCTTACAGCGTACATCTGCAATATCTTTCACAATGTCAAAGCTTTACAGTGCGTTGAGGTATAGTATCTGACAGCGTACATCAGGGCCCCGAGCGGTAACCACATCAACCCTGCAAATAATAATTAAATTATTCAAATTTCAACTCCAGCTTTCATTTTAGATTCGAAAATTTTTGCTGAAATATAAAACTTGGCTGTAAATTTACTTTTTCGATTCGTTAATTTGTTAATGATATTAAAAAGTACCCAGTATAGTTGGCATGCGGCTGCTTTGAGAAAAGAGGGGTAGGATTACAAAAGTTCCAGTTATCAGGAATAGTATAACTGATATAAATATTGGGACCTGGAGGAAATTAGTTAAATTAGTTTAATTAAGTAATTAGTTGAACTAATAAAGGGGGTCTCTAGAGAGACAGAAATATTAATCCAAGCTGTTAGGAACAAGAAGTAGGATGTGATTGTGTCCTATTGTGAGTACGTTTTTTTTGATTGATCAAACACTCCCTCCACTTAAAGAGCGGGAAGGTTGTTAATGATCAAACACTCCCTCCACTTAAAGAGCGGGAAGGTTGTTAATGATCAAACACTCCCTCCACTTAAAGAGCGGGAAGGTTGTTAATGATCAAACACTCCCTCCACTTAAAGAGCGGGAAGGTTGTTAATGATCAAACACTCCCTCCCCTTAAAGAGCGGGAAGGTTGTTAATGATCAAACACTCCCTCCACTTAAAGAGCGGGTAGGTTGTTAATGATCAAACACTCCCTCCACTTAAAGAGCGGGAAGGTTGTTAATGATCAAACACTCCCTCCACTTAAAGAGCGGGAAGGTTGTTAATGATCAAACACTCCCTCCACTTAAAGAGCGGGAAGGTTGTTAATGATCAAACACTCCCTCCACTTAAAGAGCGGGAAGGTTGTTAATGATCAAACACTCCCTCCACTTAAAGAGCGGGAAGGTTGTTAATGATCAAACACTCCCTCCACTTAAAGAGCGGGAAGGTTGTTAATGATCAAACACTCCCTCCACTTAAAGAGCGGGAAGGTTTTTAATGATCAAACACTCCCTCCACTTAAAGAGCGGGAAGGTTGTTAATGATCAAACACTCCCTCCACTTAAAGAGCGGGAAGGTTGTTAATGATCAAAAACTCCCTCCACTTAAAGAGCGGGTAGGTTGTTAATGATCAAACACTCCCTCCACTTAAAGAGCGGGAAGGTTGTTAATGATCAAACACTCCCTCCACTTAAAGAGCGGGAAGGTTGTTAATGATCAAACACTCCCTCCCCTTAAAGAGCGGGAAGGTTGTTAATGATCAAACACTCCCTCCATGTCCACTTAAAGAGCGGGAAGGTTGTTAATGATCAAACACTCCCTCCACTTAAAGAGCGGGAAGGTTGTTAATGATCAAACACTCCCTCCATGTCCACTTAAAGAGCGGGAAGGTTGTTAATGATCAAACACTCCCTCCACTTAAAGAGCGGGAAGGTTGTTAATGATCAAACACTCCCTCCATGTCCACTTAAAGAGCGGGAAGGTTGTTAATGATCAAACACTCCCTCCACTTAAAGAGCGGGAAGGTTGTTAATGATCAAACACTCTCTCCATGTCCACTTAAAGAGCGGGAAGGTTGTTAATGATCAAACACTCCCTCCACTTAAAGAGCGGGAAGGTTGTTAATGATCAAACACTCCCTCCATGTCCACTTAAAGAGCGGGAAGGTTATTAATGGTGTTGTAGTATGTGACTCACCTTGAAGGGTCTGTGCGTATCAGGGTGCTTGTATCTCAAGTAGAGAATAACTGAGAAAGTAACGCAGTAAAACAGCCACTCTACTGTACTGAGGAAGGGGATGAGGGCATTCGCGTCAAATAACATGTACAGGCACATCGTCGTACACTGAGAGAGATACAGTTTGGAAATATTTCCTTGTGTTTGAAATTAGGGTTTGGCACTGAACTATTTTTTTCTTTGTGGTTCTTCGTCGAGTTTAATTTTCAACGTGAGAGAATCACTTTGATTTTTCCACTATATCTTTGGTACGACGTATCTCGAAAGAAATAATCAATCTCTTACCTCGATTATTATAGCTCTAACGGGAGTTTGGAACCGTTTGCTAATCCCTCCCATACAAGTAGGAAACACTCCAGAGTCCGCGGTACACTGAAGGATGAATGGTGATGTTTCCTTGTATTTGAGTACAATTACAAGTAAAGTACTTGTGTTTGAAGGTTGAAAATGTTTAGTAATTGCTCCCATGGAAGTAGGAAACACTCATATCGGAAATACTCCACATCTGAATCTGATTTCAATTATAGAAAATACTAAGTTTATCAACCGACAAATGTTCCTAAAAGTTGGTATTAAAATATTTGTTTGCAGGCTGATAACATTAACAGTACTGATAACGGTAAACTCCAGAAAGTACGCCTGCACTGTTCAATAATTAGATATGAGGCACAGGGCCAAATGCATTAAATTATTAGAGGACTTGGCGTCTAAGAGGTCAGACGTCAGTAGAAGTTCCTCTTCCGATTAAAATATTTCCAAACTGAATTAAGGAATTCTAAATTTAAATTCCTGGAATTTCCAACTTTGTTTTAACAATTGTCCTTACCTGAAGATTCCGTGAAATGCAGCAGATAGAACCTCCGACACAACCTAGACACGACACCAGCAGTCCTAGAGTCATTATTATTTCACCCGCTCTACCAAACGCTATGAACCCACTATCCTGAAGCAAAAGGCTCATTACAAATACACAAAAAACGGCGTGCACAAAACGGCGTGCACGAATTGCTCAAGATTGGGCTAAATGACTGACAGTCGATAAGAACGGCAATTCAGTAATTAGGTGACGGATGATAACCACACAGTTATGAGTTAACCCACCCTGTGCCACCCTGTGCCACCCTGTGCCACCCTGTGCCATACGTTATGTGTTATGTGTTATGTGTTCGTCAACAGGTTACCAAATTGCCAAAAGGAAACTTTGTAATCCATTATTAAAACTAGAAACTGGCCGCTGGTACTAACCATAGCAATAGTTTTAGTATCCACAATGTGGTGCAGTGAGAACATCATGATGTAAGCTAGCAACTACACTAGTAACCTAGCAACTACACTAGTAACCTAGCAACTAACCATAGCAATAGTTTTAGTATCCACAATGTGGTGCAGTGAGAACATCATGAGGTAAGCTAGCAACTACACTAGTAACCTAGCAACTACACTAGTAACCTAGCAACTAACCATAGCAATAGTTTTAGTATCCACAATGTGGTGCAGTGAGAACATCATGATGTAAGCTAGCAACTACACTAGTAACCTAGCAACTACACTAGTAACCTAGCAACTACACTAGTAACCTAGCAACTACACTAGTAACCTAGCAACTACACTAGTAACCTAGCAACTAACCATAGCAATAGTTTTAGTATCCACAATGTGGTGCAGTGAGAACATCATAAGGTAAGCTAGCAACTACACTAGTAACCTAGCAACTACACTAGTAACCTAGCAACTAACCATAGCAATAGTTTTAGTATCCACAATGTGGTGCAGTGAGAACATCATGAGGTAAGCTAGCAACTACACTAGTAACCTAGCAACTACACTAGTAACCTAGTAACTAACCATAGCAATAGTTTTAGTATCCACAATGTGGTGCAGTGAGAACATCATGAGGTAAGCTAGCAACTACACTAGTAACCTAGCAACTACACTAGTAACCTAGCAACTAACCATAGCAATAGTTTTAGTATCCACAATGTGGTGCAGTGAGAACATCATGAGGTAAGCTAGCAACTACACTAGTAACCTAGCAACTACACTAGTAACCTAGCAACTAACCATAGCAATAGTTTTAGTATCCACAATGTGGTGCAGTGAGAACATCATGAGGTAAGCTAGCAACTACACTAGTAACCTAGCAACTACACTAGTAACCTAGCAACTAACCATAGCAATAGTTTTAGTATCCACAATGTGGTGCAGTGAGAACATCATGAGGTAAGCTAGCAACTACACTAGTAACCTAGCAACTACACTAGTAACCTAGCAACTAACCATAGCAATAGTTTTAGTATCCACAATGTGGTGCAGTGAGAACATCATGAGGTAAGCTAGGTTACAGAGAAAGTAGCTGACAGCCACTGCTACCATCCCCACCAACCCTCCTATTGGCAGTGTCTTCTCTGGTGTCTTCAGCTCCTCTGGGGAGTGTAAGGGTCTTGTTAGTCTGACTTTGGAAGTTTGCCAACATTTTCATTGTGAGGTTGTTAAAAGCAGAAATACTTAACTCATGTATTTAAAATTGTAGCGCGTGGGGCACCCACTGATGTGTATACTGTATATGGTCATGGTGTAGATTATCAGATGCTCCGAGAGATACTCGTCCAAATTGCTGAACTAGGGGACTCGTCGCAAAAGTAAAAAGTAAAAAAGTAAAACTTTAAGAATTGTACCTGTCATGTAGTTTAGAGAATTCCAGGCTTGGAATGTCCACAGACAGTAGTAAAATGCTAGCCCGTAGTCTGCGGGGTTAGTAGAGGACCCTTCAAAGGAAAGGGGAGGTTGGAAGTTTCCTATTTCTCCTGTTGGTAGTGGTTAGCTGTCAAGAACAATATTTCTTGGTGGTAGGAGGCGTAGAAAAGCAAAATGTGTAATATGTGAACGATCCCTTGTCGCATACCTGTGAATCAAAAGATCACATATTAATCTAGTGGTGATAGTTTCATTGCGTCCTAATATACTCCTTCATAATATCATTTCATTGCGTCTTAATATATTTCACATATAATATCAACTAACCTTGACCCTTGATAAGGACAGTGATACCACACGAGATAAGGAACCCCACCACCGCTAACTTTAACACTGAAGCTAGACTAAGTAGCTTGGTTATAGCCTGTACTCCCACTACGTTGAAAATACCTAGAACCACTAGGGAGGGGGAGGGGGTTAGAATAAACTGGGTTTTTTAAAAAGACGTATCCGAGGATAATGTTTATTTATCGTAATGTTTACCGGTCGTTATTTTGGTCAGTCTTGTAAATAACAGGACTATACCTATAAGAAGAGCACCAACTCCTTTAGAAAACCATAAGTTGCTAGCATGCCCCAAAGTAAGGTGAGAGAAGTACTCCCCGAACACCAGGGCAACCACTGACATTGAGGCAGGCCTGAGAAGAGTTGTAGTGTTAATGCCAGGGTCGTCCTTCAAGAGCGACCCTCAGAGAAGATGAAAATATTCGAATGAAGGAAAGACTTAGCATGAAGGTATAACCAGCGCACGAGTTTACTTTTATCGCGAGACTTGTTATCAGTTTTTGTAAGAAAACTAGAAACAAAAGCTAAGTATTGATAATGATTAATAGAGCAGTAGGTGGTTTCGCCACTGATTTGTTTCTCACTTGATAAGGAAGACTGCACAAAAAGAGAAGAGGAAGGCTGCAAGTTTCCCGTACGCTTTCTTTATGTACACAAACTCTCCCCCACTCTGGGGTATCATCGTACCTGGGGAACAATCATTTTATTCATTTATTTGTGAATATCCCTGGTTGAGATTTTCTCATTGTTTAAAGTTGTATTGTTATGATTGCAAAGTTATTAAGTTTTGATTGTTAACCTAGCTCAGCGTAGGCTAGAGTACAGAGTGTAGCAATAATTACCTAGCTCAGCGTAGGCTACAGTACAGAGTGTAGCAATAATTACCTAGCTCGGCGTAGGCTAGAGTACAGAGTGTAGCAATAATTACCTAGCTCGGCGTAGGCTAGAGTACAGAGTGTAGCAATAATTACCTAGCTCAGCGTAGGCTAGAGTACAGAGTGTAGCAATAATTACCTAGCTCAGCGTAGGCTAGAGTACAGAGTGTCGTAATAATTACCTAGCTCAGCGTAGGCTAGAGTACAGAGTGTAGCAATAATTACCTAGCTCAGCGTAGGCTAGAGTACAGAGTGTAGCAATAATTACCTAGCTCAGCGTAGGCTAGAGTACAGAGTGTAGCAATGATTACCTAGCTCAGCGTAGGCTAGAGTACAGAGTGTAGCAATAATTACCTAGCTCAGCGTAGGCTAGAGTACAGAGTGTAGCAATAATTACCTAGCTCAGCGTAGGCTAGAGTACAGAGTGTAGCAATAATTACCTAGCTCGGCGTAGGCTAGAGTACAGAGTGTAGCAATAATTACCTAGCTCAGCGTAGGCTAGAGTACAGAGTGTAGCAATAATTACCTAGCTCAGCGTAGGCTAGAGTACAGAGTGTAGCAATAATTACCTAGCTCAGCGTAGGCTAGAGTACAGAGTGTAGCAATAATTACCTAGCTCAGCGTAGGCTAGAGTACAGAGTGTAGCAATAATTACCTAGCTCAGCGTAGGCTAGAGTACAGAGTGTAGCAATAATTACCTAGCTCAGCGTAGGCTAGAGTACAGAGTGTAGCAATAATTACCTAGCTCAGCGTAGGCTAGAGTACAGAGTGTAGCAATAATTACCTAGCTCAGCGTAGGCTAGAGTACAGAGTGTAGCAATAATTACCTAGCTCAGCGTAGGCTAGAGTACAGAGTGTAGCAATAATTACCTAGCTCAGCGTAGGCTAGAGTACAGAGTGTAGCAATAATTACCTAGCTCAGCGTAGGCTAGAGTACAGAGTGTAGCAATAATTACCTAGCTCAGCGTAGGCTAGAGTACAGAGTGTAGCAATAATTACCTAGCTCAGCGTAGGCTAGAGTACAGAGTGTAGTAATAATTACCTAGCTCAGCGTAGGCTAGAGTACAGAGTGTAGCAATAATTACCTAGCTCAGCGTAGGCTAGAGTACAGAGTGTAGCAATAATTACCTAGCTCAGGCGTAGGCTAGAGTACAGAGTGTAGCAATAATTACCTAGCTCAGCGTAGGCTAGAGTACAGAGTGTAGCAATAATTACCTAGCTCAGCGTAGGCTAGAGTACAGAGTGTAGCAATAATTACCTAGCTCAGCGTAGGCTAGAGTACAGAGTGTAGTAATAATTACCTAGCTCAGCGTAGGCTACAGTACAGAGTGTAGCAATAATTACCTAGCTCAGCGTAGGCTAGAGTACAGAGTGTAGCAATAATTACCTAGCTCAGCGTAGGCTACAGTACAGAGTGTAGTAATAATTACCTAGCTCAGCGTAGGCTACAGTACAGAGTGTAGCAATAATTACCTAGCTCAGCGTAGGCTAGAGTACAGAGTGTAGCAATAATTACCTAGCTCAGCGTAGGCTAGAGTACAGAGTGTAGCAATAATTACCTAGCTCAGCGTAGGCTAGAGTACAGAGTGTAGCAATAATTACCTAGCTCAGCGTAGGCTAGAGTACAGAGTGTAGCAATAATTACCTAGCTCGGCGTAGGCTAGAGTACAGAGTGTAGCAATAATTACCTAGCTCAGCGTAGGCTAGAGTACAGAGTGTAGCAATAATTACCTAGCTCAGCGTAGGCTAGAGTACAGAGTGTAGCAATAATTACCTAGCTCAGCGTAGGCTAGAGTACAGAGTGTAGCAATAATTACCTAGCTCAGCGTAGGCTAGAGTACAGAGTGTAGCAATAATTACCTAGCTCAGCGTAGGCTAGAGTACAGAGTGTAGCAATAATTACCTAGCTCAGCGTAGGCTAGAGTACAGAGTGTAGCAATAATTACCTAGCTCAGCGTAGGCTAGAGTACAGAGTGTAGTAATAATTACCTAGCTCAGCGTAGGCTAGAGTACAGAGTGTAGCAATAATTACCTAGCTCAGCGTAGGCTAGAGTACAGAGTGTAGCAATAATTACCTAGCTCAGCGTAGGCTAGAGTACAGAGTGTAGCAATAATTACCTAGCTCAGCGTAGGCTAGAGTACAGAGTGTAGCAATAATTACCTAGCTCAGCGTAGGCTACAGTACAGAGTGTAGCAATAATTACCTAGCTCAGCGTAGGCTAGAGTACAGAGTGTAGCAATAATTACCTAGCTCAGCGTAGGCTAGAGTACAGAGTGTAGCAATAATTACCTAGCTCAGCGTAGGCTAGAGTACAGAGTGTAGCAATAATTACCTAGCTCAGCGTAGGCTAGAGTACAGAGTGTAGCAATAATTACCTAGCTCAGCGTAGGCTAGAGTACAGAGTGTAGCAATAATTACCTAGCTCAGCGTAGGCTAGAGTACAGAGTGTAGCAATAATTACCTAGCTCAGCGTAGGCTAGAGTACAGAGTGTAGCAATAATTACCTAGCTCAGCGTAGGCTAGAGTACAGAGTGTAGCAATAATTACCTAGCTCAGCGTAGGCTAGAGTACAGAGTGTAGCAATAATTACCTAGCTCAGCGTAGGCTAGAGTACAGAGTGTAGCAATAATTACCTAGCTCAGCGTAGGCTAGAGTACAGAGTGTAGCAATAATTACCTAGCTCAGCGTAGGCTAGAGTACAGAGTGTAGCAATAATTACCTAGCTCAGCGTAGGCTAGAGTACAGAGTGTAGCAATAATTACCTAGCTCAGCGTAGGCTAGAGTACAGAGTGTAGCAATAATTACCTAGCTCAGCGTAGGCTAGAGTACAGAGTGTAGCAATAATTACCTAGCTCAGCGTAGGCTAGAGTACAGAGTGTAGCAATAATTACCTAGCTCAGCGTAGGCTAGAGTACAGAGTGTAGCAATAATTACCTAGCTCAGCGTAGGCTAGAGTACAGAGTGTAGCAATAATTACCTAGCTCAGCGTAGGCTAGAGTACAGAGTGTAGCAATAATTACCTAGCTCAGCGTAGGCTAGAGTACAGAGTGTAGCAATAATTACCTAGCTCAGCGTAGGCTAGAGTACAGAGTGTAGCAATAATTACCTAGCTCAGCGTAGGCTAGAGTACAGAGTGTAGCAATAATTACCTAGCTCAGCGTAGGCTAGAGTACAGAGTGTAGCAATAATTACCTAGCTCAGCGTAGGCTAGAGTACAGAGTGTAGTAATAATTACCTAGCTCAGCGTAGGCTAGAGTACAGAGTGTAGCAATAATTACCTAGCTCAGCGTAGGCTAGAGTACAGAGTGTAGCAATAATTACCTAGCTCGCGTAGGCTAGAGTACAGAGTGTAGCAATAATTACCTAGCTCAGCGTAGGCTAGAGTACAGAGTGTAGCAATAATTACCTAGCTCAGCGTAGGCTACAGTACAGAGTGTAGCAATAATTACCTAGCTCAGCGTAGGCTACAGTACAGAGTGTAGTAATAATTACCTAGCTCAGCGTAGGCTACAGTACAGAGTGTAGCAATAATTACCTAGCTCAGCGTAGGCTAGAGTACAGAGTGTAGCAATAATTACCTAGCTCAGCGTAGGCTACAGTACAGAGTGTAGTAATAATTACCTAGCTCAGCGTAGGCTACAGTACAGAGTGTAGCAATAATTACCTAGCTCAGCGTAGGCTAGAGTACAGAGTGTCGTAATAATTACCTAGCTCAGCGTAGGCTAGAGTACAGAGTGTAGCAATAATTACCTAGCTCAGCGTAGGCTAGAGTACAGAGTGTAGCAATAATTACCTAGCTCAGCGTAGGCTAGAGTACAGAGTGTAGCAATGATTACCTAGCTCAGCGTAGGCTAGAGTACAGAGTGTAGCAATAATTACCTAGCTCAGCGTAGGCTAGAGTACAGAGTGTAGCAATAATTACCTAGCTCAGCGTAGGCTAGAGTACAGAGTGTAGCAATAATTACCTAGCTCGGCGTAGGCTAGAGTACAGAGTGTAGCAATAATTACCTAGCTCAGCGTAGGCTAGAGTACAGAGTGTAGCAATAATTACCTAGCTCAGCGTAGGCTAGAGTACAGAGTGTAGCAATAATTACCTAGCTCAGCGTAGGCTAGAGTACAGAGTGTAATAATAATTACCTAGCTCAGCGTAGGCTAGAGTACAGAGTGTAGCAATAATTACCTAGCTCGGCGTAGGCTAGAGTACAGAGTGTAGCAATAATTACCTAGCTCAGCGTAGGCTAGAGTACAGAGTGTAGCAATAATTACCTAGCTCAGCGTAGGCTAGAGTACAGAGTGTAGCAATAATTACCTAGCTCAGCGTAGGCTAGAGTACAGAGTGTAGCAATAATTACCTAGCTCAGCGTAGGCTAGAGTACAGAGTGTAGCAATAATTACCTAGCTCAGCGTAGGCTAGAGTACAGAGTGTAGCAATAATTACCTAGCTCAGCGTAGGCTAGAGTACAGAGTGTAGCAATAATTACCTAGCTCAGCGTAGGCTAGAGTACAGAGTGTAGTAATAATTACCTAGCTCAGCGTAGGCTAGAGTACAGAGTGTAGCAATAATTACCTAGCTCAGCGTAGGCTAGAGTACAGAGTGTAGCAATAATTACCTAGCTCAGCGTAGGCTAGAGTACAGAGTGTAGCAATAATTACCTAGCTCAGCGTAGGCTACAGTACAGAGTGTAGCAATAATTACCTAGCTCAGCGTAGGCTACAGTACAGAGTGTAGCAATAATTACCTAGCTCAGCGTAGGCTAGAGTACAGAGTGTAGCAATAATTACCTAGCTCAGCGTAGGCTACAGTACAGAGTGTAGCAATAATTACCTAGCTCAGCGTAGGCTACAGTACAGAGTGTAGTAATAATTACCTAGCTCAGCGTAGGCTACAGTACAGAGTGTAGCAATAATTACCTAGCTCAGCGTAGGCTAGAGTACAGAGTGTAGCAATAATTACCTAGCTCAGCGTAGGCTACAGTACAGAGTGTAGTAATAATTACCTAGCTCAGCGTAGGCTACAGTACAGAGTGTAGCAATAATTACCTAGCTCAGCGTAGGCTAGAGTACAGAGTGTAGCAATAATTACCTAGCTCAGCGTAGGCTAGAGTACAGAGTGTAGCAATAATTACCTAGCTCAGCGTAGGCTAGAGTACAGAGTGTAGCAATGATTACCTAGCTCAGCGTAGGCTAGAGTACAGAGTGTAGCAATAATTACCTAGCTCAGCGTAGGCTAGAGTACAGAGTGTAGCAATAATTACCTAGCTCAGCGTAGGCTAGAGTACAGAGTGTAGCAATAATTACCTAGCTCGGCGTAGGCTAGAGTACAGAGTGTAGCAATAATTACCTAGCTCAGCGTAGGCTAGAGTACAGAGTGTAGCAATAATTACCTAGCTCAGCGTAGGCTAGAGTACAGAGTGTAGCAATAATTACCTAGCTCAGCGTAGGCTAGAGTACAGAGTGTAATAATAATTACCTAGCTCAGCGTAGGCTAGAGTACAGAGTGTAGCAATAATTACCTAGCTCAGCGTAGGCTAGAGTACAGAGTGTAGCAATAATTACCTAGCTCAGCGTAGGCTAGAGTACAGAGTGTAGCAATAATTACCTAGCTCAGCGTAGGCTAGAGTACAGAGTGTAGCAATAATTACCTAGCTCAGCGTAGGCTAGAGTACAGAGTGTAGCAATAATTACCTAGCTCAGCGTAGGCTAGAGTACAGAGTGTAGCAATAATTACCTAGCTCAGCGTAGGCTAGAGTACAGAGTGTAGCAATAATTACCTAGCTCAGCGTAGGCTAGAGTACAGAGTGTAGCAATAATTACCTAGCTCAGCGTAGGCTAGAGTACAGAGTGTAGTAATAATTACCTAGCTCAGCGTAGGCTAGAGTACAGAGTGTAGCAATAATTACCTAGCTCAGCGTAGGCTAGAGTACAGAGTGTAGCAATAATTACCTAGCTCAGCGTAGGCTAGAGTACAGAGTGTAGCAATAATTACCTAGCTCAGCGTAGGCTAGAGTACAGAGTGTAGCAATAATTACCTAGCTCAGCGTAGGCTAGAGTACAGAGTGTAGTAATAATTACCTAGCTCAGCGTAGGCTAGAGTACAGAGTGTAGCAATAATTACCTAGCTCAGCGTAGGCTAGAGTACAGAGTGTAGCAATAATTACCTAGCTCAGCGTAGGCTACAGTACAGAGTGTAGCAATAATTACCTAGCTCAGCGTAGGCTAGAGTACAGAGTGTAGCAATAATTACCTAGCTCAGCGTAGGCTAGAGTACAGAGTGTAGCAATAATACCAGCTAGTCCCCATATCAACAGTCCCGCTCCAGGGCTCCCTGCCTTCTCGTAGACCCCTGAAATGAAAATTTATTTAAAAATTTATTTAGTTCAATTATTAGTTATTTAGTTTATTTAAAAATTTATTTAGTTCAATTATTTAGCTCTGAGCATGGTATCTAGTTGATACTACTGGAAAACTCGGAATTCTCGGACCATTTTAATTAACAAGTTCTGCTCCAGGGCTTGCTGCCTTCTCGTAGACTCCTGGGACATTATTAGCGGTAATTTTAGTACTAGAGTCTTACTTACTTTGGTAATCAAACAGAATCTGAAGATATCTAAAATCTTAATAGGGTACCTTTGGGAGAAATGAAGATTCCTGCACCGACACAGTTTCCAAATAACACAGCACTGGCAGCTAGCACTCCTACTGTTCTTTGTACCTTCGGTTCAAACCCTTCCTGAAACACAAGGAAATATATTATTTAGTGTATGGATTAATAAAATTTCTGAAGCACAAGGAAATATTTGTCAGGATCACCCGATACTTTTCCTCTGTTTTCATTGGCGTTTAAACTTCAAAATCACATATTTTAGCCAAATTGGCGCGGACAAAGTTTATCAACTAAACACAAGAAAACTATAAAATGTTACCTTATTAAAGAGTGGTGCCATCTCATTGTCCCCCTTCATATTCCCACCTTGAAACAAAGTCACTAAAGTTACTAAAGTCACTAAAGTCACTAAAGTCACTAAAGTTACTAAAGTCACTAAAGTTACTAAAGTTCACTGAACTGGAACACACATGACAAACTTATCACAAACTAGCTGAATGATGTCTGAATCGCTACTGATAGTGACCTAGCTTCTATATATATATAACCCAGTAATATTGCTGTAATTATGAGATGGGATACTACGTGAAACAATAAGGGGTATGACAAATTAATCAGTAAAAATACCAGATATCCTAATCAAATGTAACGAAACACGGTTTCAATTGTTTTATTAGCAAGGCCCGTAATTAAACCGCTCAGATAATGTTGAAAAAGACGTGAAATTGCTTTGTATTGATGCTGATTGCTGAGTGATTCTCCAAAAATCTACTTATCTTTTTAGGGTTTTGGAACATTGTCAGATGATAACGGTATTGTTATTACATTACCTGTTCAACTGTTATTCAGAATGCCAATTTTAAGGGCCTATAATTTGTTTTAAGACCGTTCATATATTATATCAGCAAGATTATAAATTCCGACGTAAGATTCCGACTAATCCATCTCTTATCAGAATTGATGGAGGTAGACCGATAATATTCATGAAGTTAGTTTTTTTACATGTAAGACTGAGCAAAGATATTGAAATCAGCTGTAGCAATTTAAACCACGTTCGCCTTATTCATTAAATTCAGCAAAAGCTACTGCTACAGAACAAGAATTTTCCGGAGTTTAAGGTGAGGATACCAAGTATGAGGTAAACAGAAAAACCAGACAAAAATTAAAATAAACAGAATTATATTTTAAGCTTAAATAGCCCGGAGGGATTGGCTCCTGACCAATAACGTTACTCGTAATAACACCACGTGATCGTTTTAGCTTTGACTGTGTATGATAGGAAACTGCATTGCCCCCGAGCGAGGAAACATCTGTTTGTCTATCACCTTATTTTCATAAGATATTATTTCCCAGCATCTTTATCTTAACTGATATTCAAGATTAGACACGTTCTCTGCTTATCTTGCATAATGTGTTCAAGATAATGTTCATAATGTGTTCAATTTTCCAGGCAGATTACTTTGTATTATAACGAGGAGGTTTTAAATATATTTTTAGAAATCTGCATGAACGTCCATTGAAGAAGCACCACGTCCAATGCAAGCAGGGTTTGTTTATAATCCAATATTAGAAAAAATGAGATAAACTCGTCTTATCATTTATATTTTATGCTTTATGCAAGTGCACAGTGGCGTAACGACCACCCCAGCTTGCGTCCGGACTCTACTGCAGTCTCTACTGCGTCAGACTCTACGGCTCACCCGCTCACGGGCTCGAAATGAGGAAATGTTAGACTTTATAATTGGTCTGGGGAGCTGTAAACCAAATAGGATGATCTGATGAATCAGTCTACACTCGACTATCACGTTTTTCGTTAGGGACCGGCCCAAAGTACCAGCCAATATTTACTCAAAAATATATATAATAATTATTATCTATTAAAAGTCAAAAACTCACACAAGATTAGATATTTTGTTTTACTTAAACATGTTCTTTAGAAATAGATGGCCCTGAGGGATTATTGAGATCCCAACCCTATATCTCACCAGATTCTTATCTGAAGTATATACTTATAGTTATATGCTAAAACCCTAACCATAATTAAACGGCCCGCGCTATATCTCCACCGAAAGCACATCCAATTTGATACGTATAAAATAGTTGTATAACTTGCTTTATTCTGCACTAAGTTTACGTGTTTATACCAAAATTGAACGGGTAATAGTTTAAGATCAAGGATCGAATGAGTAAAAACCTATTTACTTTTAGCGCTCGCTCTCATAAGTCATATCTAAATATCTTATTGTCACTAAAGACACGTCACCAATCGCAATAACAAGGATATATAATACCCAACGAAGAGCTAGCAACTAAACAGGATTAAACAGGATTAAACATAAATAAATTCGTCAATGAGAGCCCTAACACTCACGTCTTGACTAAATAGGAAAATAAATAATATACAAGAATGTTCTTAAAATAAAAATAAAAATGTAACGTCACAAGATGAGACAGCTTTGTAGACTGGTAACGGAAGCTATCAGGAATCAAAAGACTTTATAATTGGTCTGGGGGAGCTGTAAACCAATTATCTAATCACCTTGAAATGAGGAATGTGTCTAACTGTTAACTGGGACTTGAAATGATATATGATGTAGTTAAAGAAGACGATTTACTGAAGACGATTTACACAAGTATTTAGAAAGCTCCTGCTAATACAATCCTTTCGTATCACTTATTTGTTTTAAATATCCCCCTCCAGGATGTAGTTAACATTAGTCAAGAGGAAATGGGATGATCTGATGAATCACTCTATACTCGACTATCACATTTTTTGCTTGGGTCCGGACTCTACTGCGTGAGACTCTACGCTAAACTACGTCCACTTGAACATTCGGTCGACGCTAAAAAAGTCTGTACGGGTCGGCAAAAAACAAGGCATGTTTTCTTCCTTAAGAAATTAGACAAATTTTAGTTGGGCGGAAAAGAAGTCAGCGGGGGCGGCACACAGGTACGTATCTCCACAGAAAGCACATCCAATTTGACGCATTCAACATATACTCTGCAGTAGCAGGGAGGAGTTGAGTGTGCACTTCGATGTATAGAGTTTTTTGCTAATATGACATATGGGCGAGGCTCTCGGTGATTTGAGTTACCAATGACCTATTTAACCATATATCCAGTAGCAAAAACTCTATACACCAAATTGCACACTCAACTACTCCCTGCTACTGGAGTAGTATGCAATAGTTCTTCAACTTGCTTCATTCTGCTCTTAGTTAACGTGTGTCGACCAAAATTGATAGGGGAATTTAATATTTAAGAATTTGATTCTAGAAACCACTTGGCAGTTCATCAACGGAAAAATTTAGAAGAGAAAATTTAAACGACAAATTAGATTTGAGCAATTGGTATCCGACATCCGTGTTCGTAAAATGAGCTGTTTTTCCTTATCTTTTGATTTAGTCTTGCACCGTTATCGAGCATTATTCGACGATTTTTCAATAAAATTTCCGATTGTTTTTTATTATAAAATAAGGGGAGGAGATGCTACGTTACGAGATACAACTTCACACTCCTGTTCATGCTCTCTGTAGCGTAGGATAAGCGGACTTATGTTTTGTTATCTCATTCGAATTGGGGGCTGCATCATTTTGAGCAATGAATTAACCACTTTGCATGCAGTTCTCACTTTTATCAGACAAAACAATTCTAACGTATTCATTACTTTAGTACACAACTGGCACGTGACTGATTACTTAAGTACACAACTGACACGTGACACGTGACTGACTCGTGACAGCCAACCAGAAGTTATTTTAGAGTTCGGAATGGTTGAAAATTACATACTCATTTTTATTCTCAAGTCTCGTATTTTGATGGGAAATCGTCTATGTTTGACAATTTTTAACAGTATTTATACTATTAAAATGTTATAATGTTAACAATTTTAACGCTTGAAATGCCGTACAAATGAAAAGTCACAATCTTAAACCCAAGTTAAAACAAAAACAAATACCCGTAACAGAATGCTGCAGGTACATGATAGGGACCAAACATAAAAACTAAAAACTCTTCAGATGTAACTTTGTTTTGTTTACCAATTATATACTCCTTCATAATATTACCAATTAGAATTTAGAATAATTCTTTGGATGTTTTATTAATCTGAATGTCAAACTCTCAAAAGTTTTTATTATATTAATATAAAACACTAATATAAAAGAATCATACAAATGTTATCTCAGTTCAACTCAGTCTTAGCTAAGTTTACATTCCTTGATGTGTCGGTCAACCTCACTATACCCAGAATCTAAACTAGACTGACTTGAGGTCTTCTGTTCGAGCTTCTTGTAGCAGCACTGTTTAATAAGATGCCGGATGCCGTAAACTGCCGCTCCTAGTGGTAACCAGCTTAGACCTGATAAGATACCGTGCTGTAAGATGCCGCATTCTGCTTAACAATATACCATGTTACAAGATGCCGGGTACCGCATTCTGCTTAACAAGATACCGTGCTATAAGATGCCGGGTACCGCATTCTGCTTAACAAGATACCGTGTTATAAGATGCCGGATACCGTAAAACGCTGCTCCTAGTGGTATCCAGCATAGACCTGTCAAGGTTTGTTGTTCAAATATTGGCAATATTTCTTTTAAAATCCTTCGTGTTTAATTAATTATTAATAAATACTTCCCTCATCCTCCAAAAACGAATTTTATACGATTATAGAAATTGATTCATTATTTGAATGAATCTATTAATTATCCATTAAGTAATAATAGTAATATAATAGTAATAGTACTATCAACTATGTTTACAGTATGCACTGAAGGGGTATCCTAGGAAGTTTCTTGAACTTTTAACAGGTAATTTTAAGTAATTAATAATGAATTAATTAACTATCCATCAAGTAATTAATTAATTAATTAATTATCCATTAAGTATTCCTCACGTACCCAACAGGGTGGTGACCCTACTTTCCTCCGAGAATAGAGGCAGTACCACAAACGTTCCCGTTATTAAAAACAGGAACACCGACACAAATAGTGGAACCTGAAGTTACAAAGTTTAGGTTTCACTGGGAAATGTAAGTAAGTTATTCACAGAAGCTCCCATTGAATTCGTTCAAGGTACGACATCACAAGTAATTACTAATTACTTTGAAGTTCAGTTATTTTACGATTAAAATAACATTAATAACCCACCTTGAAAGGCCTCTTCGAGTTGGGTTCCTTATACCGTAAGTAAAGAATAGTGGAGAACGTCACACAGTAGAATAACCACTCTACAGTGCTTAAGAAGGGGATCAGCATGTTGGCGTCCACCAGAACATACACACTCATTGTCAGTACCTGCTCGGGCAGGCATCTGTTTGAAATATTTCCTTGTGTTTGGTTGAGGGGACTAGAGGAAGAAGACATTGTCTGAGATTGCTTGCAGATGATATGTCTGTGTGTTTGAACTAACGGTTAAAATTATATAATTGAATTTCCTCAAACTATCCACGTACCACAGTGATGATAGCTTTGATTGGTGTCTGGAAGGTTTTGTTGATCCCGCTTAAGAACGATGGGAATATTCCCGTTTCTGCTGTGCTCTGGGTGGGGTAAACCGATAAGAAAATCGTATTTTCTGTTTTTCAAACTTGCTGGCAATTTGCCACATAATTAAAACTTAATTGTTTCGTTATTTTTCAGCATAAAACATCTTACGTTTAATGGTCGTCGTGGTCATGCATGGCTAACTGGAGAAACCATTTTTCACCAGCCACAAAACGTAGAGTAATTATAAGGTGATTACAGTAATTAGGAACTAATTAGGAACTTATTAACTGGAATGAAGTACCTGAATGTTTCGTGATATACAGCAGATAGCACCGCCCAGACACCCCAGGCACGAGACTAACAGTCCTAAGCTCATGGTTATCTCACCCGCTCTGCCAAACGCAATGAACCCGCTATCCTGGAAATAAGATTAAGTACAATAAAGTTTTTATGGCATCTTATTGTAACATCTTTTTTTTTTTTTATCAAGACACTTATTTTACTTCGGACATTCTAACAGCCACATTGTTACACAAGTGTGTAACCAGCCAATTACAGGAAGCCGAAGGATTCAATTATACATTAGGCCAGTGACGGTTAAGGTAGTGTGTACCATACTTTCTTCGCCCGAGACTTTGCTGCAATGTGCAGCTCCTCATTCAACCCTCACACCCGATTTCTCGAGTATTCGGCTGAGTAGACCGGGGGGCTGCATAGACCACTCATGATCCTTAGCTGAACGTCGACGACGCTCACCCCACGACCAGGCAGTCAGTGGGATTCGAACCCGCAACCTAACGATTGTAAGACAGGCGTTCTAACCAACTGCGCTACCTGGCCGTTAAAATGGTACGATGGTATCATTTTACCATCGTATTATTTTTACGTCTCATCATTAATCATTGTACCATCTTATCAATGTTCATATCACAAAGTTGGAATGTTGAATGCCCGGTAAGAGAGAAGAATGTTTGTTTCAGGCTATGCTAGAAACTATAGAAGCTATTTAGTGTCATGCTTGTACAGGAGTTACATCTGCACTCGATATTTGTGTTTTGGTGACCCAAAAGTCATTTGATTACATACATTTTAAGTATTTTGCATAGTAAACTAGCTTGCAAATCCACACTTTCTCTCAAGGTATATTTTGTAGCTTATTCCATTGTGTAATTTGTATGTACTTGATTGATTTAAAAGATTTCAGTAAAAATAGTATCTCACCATAGCAATAGTTTTAGTATCGACTATCTGGTGCAGTGAGAACATCATGAGGTAAGCTAGCAACTACACTAGTAACCTAGCAACTACACTAGTAACCTAGCAACTACACTAGTAACCTAGCAACTACACTAGTAACCTAGCAACTACACTAGTAACCTAGCAACTACACTAGTAACCTAGCAACTACACTAGTAACCTAGCAACTACACTAGTAACCTAGCAACTACACTAGTAACCTAGCAACTACACTAGTAACCTAGCAACTACACTAGTAACCTACCAACTACACTAGTAACCTAGCAACTACACTAGTAACCTAGCAACTACACTAGTAACCTACCAACTACACTAGTAACCTAGCAACTACACTAGTAACCTAGCAACTACACTAGTAACCTAGCAACTACACTAGTAACCTAGCAACTACACTAGTAACCTAGCAACTACACTAGTAACCTAGCAACTACACTAGTAACCTAGCAACTACACTAGTAACCTAGCAACTACACTAGTAACCTACCAACTACACTAGTAACCTAGCAACTACACTAGTAACCTAGCAACTACATTAGTAACCTAGCAACTACACTAGTAACCTAGTAACTAACCATAGCAATAGTGTTAGTATCGACTATCTGGTGCAGTGAGAACATCATGAGGTAAGCTAGCAACTACACTAGTAACCTAGCAACTACACTAGTAACCTAGCAACTACACTAGTAACCTAGCAACTACACTAGTAACCTAGCAACTACACTAGTAACCTAGCAACTACACTAGTAACCTAGCAACTACACTAGTAACCTAGCAACTACACTAGTAACCTAGCAACTACACTAGTAACCTAGCAACTACACTAGTAACCTAGCAATTAAACTAGTAACCTAGCAACTACACTAGTAACCTAGCAACTAAACTAGTAACCTAGCAACTAAACTAGTAACCTAGCAACTACACTAGTAACCTAGCAACTACACTAGTAACCTAGCAACTACACTAGTAACCTAGCAACTACACTAGTAACCTAGTAACTAACCATAGCAATAGTGTTAGTATCCACAATGTGGTGCAGTGAGAACATCATGAGGTAAGCTAGCAACTACACTAGTAACCTAGCAACTACACTAGTAACCTAGCAACTACACTAGTAACCTAGCAACTACACTAGTAACCTAGCAACTACACTAGTAACCTAGCAACTACACTAGTAACCTAGTAACTACACTAGTAACCTAGCAACTACACTAGTAACCTAGCAACTACACTAGTAACCTAGCAACTACACTAGTAACCTAGCAACTACACTAGTAACCTAGCAACTACACTAGTAACCTAGCAACTACACTAGTAACCTAGCAACTACACTAGTAACCTAGTAACTACACTAGTAACCTAGCAACTACACTAGTAACCTAGCAACTACACTAGTAACCTAGCAACTACACTAGTAACCTAGCAACTACACTAGTAACCTAGCAACTACACTAGTAACCTAGCAACTAACCATAGCAATAGTTTTAGTATCCACAATGTGGTGCAGTGTGAACATCATGAGGTAAGCTAGGTTACAGAGAAAGTAGCTGACAGCCACTGCTACCATCCCCACCAACCCTCCTATTGGCAGTGTCTTCTCTGGTGTCTTCAGCTCTTCTGGGGAGTGTAAGGGTCTTGTTAGTCTGACTTTGGAAGTTTGCCAACATTTTCATTGTGATTGTTTAAAGCTGAAATACTTAACTCATGTATTGTAGCGCGTGGGGCACCCACTGATGTGTATATGATGTATATTGTAGCGCGTGGGGCACCTACTGATGTGTATATGATGTAGATTTTCAGATTCTCCGAGAGATATTCGTCCAAATTGCTGAAGGGGCCTCGTCGCAAAAGTAAAAAGTAAAAAAGTAAAACTTTAAGAATTGTACCTGTCATGTAGTTTAGAGAATTCCAGGCTTGGAATGTCCACAGACAGTAGTAAAATGCTAGCCCGTAGTCTGCGGGGTTAGTAGAGGACCCTTCGAAGGAGAGGGGAGGTTGGAAGTTTCCTATTTCTCCTGTTGGTAGTGGTTAGCTTTCAAGAACAATATTCCTTGGTGGTAGGAGGCGTAGAAAAGCAAAATGTGTAATATGTGAACGATCCCTTGTCGCATACCTGTGAATCAAAAGATCACATTATATATTAAATCTAGTTATACATTACTTTATCATATTTTATTGATCTAAGGTTTAGTATTGCCAGATCCCAGTTCAATTTGTAACGGAGTTTTATGTTAACAGGAAACGATGTAACAGAGTCAATATATTTTAATGTTGCCATGGGGTGGCAAGTCCCCATGCATCGTGGTCCGATAGTTTCATTGCATCTTAATATACTCCTTCATAATATCATTTCATTGCGTCTTAATATATGTCACCTATAACATCAACTAACCTTGACCCTTGATAAGGACAGTGATACCACACGAGATAAGGAACCCCACCACCGCTAACTTTAACACTGAAGCTAGACTCAGTAGCTTTGTTATAGCCTGTACTCCTACTACGTTGAAAACACCTAAAACCACTAGGGAGGGGAAGGGGGTTAGAATAAACTGGGTTTTTTAAAAAGACGTATCCGAGGATAATATTCATTAGTCGTAATGTTTACCGGTCGTTATTTTGGTCACTCTTGTAAATAACAGGACTTTTAACTGTTAACACCATACCTATAAGAAGAGCACCAACTCCTTTAGAAAACCATAAGTTGCTAGCATGCCCCAAAGTAAGGTGAGAGAAGTACTCCCCGAACACCAGGGCAACCACTGACATTGAGGCAGGCCTGAGAAGGGTTGTAGTGTCAGGGGTGTTAATATCAGGGTCGTCCTTCAAGAGCGATCTTCAGAGAAGATGGAAATATTCGAATGAAGGAAAGACTTAGCATGAAGTATAACCTTCAAGAGCGATCTTCAGAGAAGATGAAAATATTCGAATTAAGGAAAGACTTAGCATGAAGGTATAACCAGCGCACGAGTTTATTTTTATCACGAGACTTTTTATCAGTTTTTGTAAGAAAACTAGAAACAAAAGCTAAGTATTGATAATGATTAATAGAGCAGTAGGTGGTTTCGCCACTGATTTGTTTCTCACTTGATAAGGAAGACTGTACAAAAAGAGAAGAGGAAGGCTGCAAGTTTCCCGTACGCTTTCTTTATGTACACAAACTCTCCCCCACTCTGTGGTATCATCGTTCCTGGGGAACAATCATTTTATTCATTTATTTGTGAATATCCCTGGTTGAGATTTTCTCATTGTTAAAAGTTGTATTGTTATGATTACAAAGTTATTAAGTTTTGATTGTTAACGTAGCTCAGCGTAGGCTAGAGTACAGAGTGTAGCAATAATTACCTAGCTCGGCGTAGGCTACAGTACAGAGTGTAGTAATAATTACCTAGCTCAGCGTAGGCTAGAGTACAGAGTGTAGCAATAATTACCTAGCTCAGCGTAGGCTAGAGTACAGAGTGTAGCAATAATTACCTAGCTCAGCGTAGGCTAGAGTACAGAGTGTAGCAATAATTACCTAGCTCAGCGTAGGCTAGAGTACAGAGAGTAGCAATAATTACCTAGCTCAGCGTAGGCTAGAGTACAGAGTGTAGCAATAATTACCTAGCTCAGCGTAGGCTAGAGTACAGAGTGTAGCAATAATTACCTAGCTCAGCGTAGGCTAGAGTACAGAGTGTAGCAATAATTACCTAGCTCAGCGTAGGCTAGAGTACAGAGTGTAGCAATAATTACCTAGCTCAGCGTAGGCTAGAGTACAGAGTGTAGCAATAATTACCTAGCTCAGCGTAGGCTAGAGTACAGAGTGTAGCAATAATTACCTAGCTCAGCGTAGGCTAGAGTACAGAGTGTAGTAATAATTACCTAGCTCAGCGTAGGCTAGAGTACAGAGTGTAGCAATAATTACCTAGCTCAGCGTAGGCTAGAGTACAGAGTGTAGCAATAATTACCTAGCTCAGCGTAGGCTAGAGTACAGAGTGTAGCAATAATTACCTAGCTCAGCGTAGGCTAGAGTACAGAGTGTAGCAATAATTACCTAGCTCAGCGTAGGCTAGAGTACAGAGTGTAGCAATAATTACCTAGCTCAGCGTAGGCTAGAGTACAGAGTGTAGCAATAATTACCTAGCTCAGCGTAGGCTAGAGTACAGAGTGTAGCAATAATTACCTAGCTCAGCGTAGGCTAGAGTACAGAGTGTAGCAATAATTACCTAGCTCAGCGTAGGCTAGAGTACAGAGTGTAGCAATAATTACCTAGCTCAGCGTAGGCTAGAGTACAGAGTGTAGTAATAATTACCTAGCTCAGCGTAGGCTAGAGTACAGAGTGTAGTAATAATTACCTAGCTCAGCGTAGGCTAGAGTACAGAGTGTAGCAATAATTACCTAGCTCAGCGTAGGCTAGAGTACAGAGTGTAGCAATAATTACCTAGCTCAGCGTAGGCTAGAGTACAGAGTGTAGTAATAATTACCTAGCTCAGCGTAGGCTAGAGTACAGAGTGTAGCAATAATACCAGCTAGTCCCCATATCAACAGTCCCGCTCCAGGGCTCCCTGCTTTCTCGTAGACCCCTGAAATGAAAATTTATTTAAAAATTTGTTTAGTTCAATTATTAGTTATTTAGTTTATTTAAAAATTTATTTAGTTCAATTATTTAGCTCTGAGCATGGTATCTAGTTGATACTACTGGAAAACTCGGAATTCTCGGACCATTTTAATTAACAAGTTCTGCTCCAGGGCTTGCTGCCTTCTCGTAGACTCCTGGGACATTATTAGCGGTAATTTTAGTACTAGAGTCTTACTTACTTTGGTAATCAAACAGAATCTGAAGATATCTAAAATCTTAATAGGGTACCTTTGGGAGAAATGAAGATTCCTGCACCGACACAGTTTCCAAACAACACAGCACTGGCAGCTAGCACTCCTACTGTTCTTTGTACCTTCGGTTCAAACCCTTCCTGAAACACAAGGAAATATATTATTTAGTGTTTCGATTAATAAAATTTCTGAAGCACAAGGAAATATTTGTCAGGATCACCCGATACTTCTCCTCTGTTTTCATTGGTGTATTAACTTCAAAATTACACATTTTAGCCAAATTGGCGCGGACAAAGTTTATCAACTAAACACAAGAAAACTATAAAATGTTACCTTCTTAAAGAGTGGTACCATCTCACTGTCCCCCTTCATATTGCCACCTTGAAACAAAGTTACTAAAGTCACTAAAGTTACTAAAGTTCACTGAACTGGAACACACATGACAAACTTATCACAAACTAGCTGAATGATGTCTGAATCGCTACTGATAGTGACCTAGATAGTGACCTAGATTCTATATATATAATATAACCCAGTAATATTGCTGTAATTATGAGATGGGATACTACGTGAAACAATAAGGGGTATGACAAATTAATCAGTAAAAATACCAGATATCCTAATCAAATGTAACGAAACACGGTTTCAATTGTTTTATTAGCAAGGCCCGTAATTAAACCGCTCAGATAATGTTGAAAAAGACGTGAAATTGCTTTGTATTGATGCTGATTGCTGAGTGATTCTCCAAAAATCTACTTATCTTTTTAGGGTTTTGGAACATTGTCAGATGATAACGGTATTGTTATTACATTACCTGTTCAACTGTTATTCAGAATGCCAATTTTAAGGGCCTATAATTTATTTTAAGACCGTTCATATATTATATCAGCAAGATTATAAATTCCGACGTAAGATTCCGACTAATCCATCCCTTATCAGAATTGATGGAGGTAGACCGATATTATTCATGAAGTTAGTTTTTTTACATGTAAGACTGAGCAAAGATATTGAAATCAGCTGTAGCAATTTAAACCACGTTCGCCTTATTCATTAAATTCAGCAAAAGCTACTGCTACAGAACAAGAATTTTCCGGAGTTTAAGGTGAGGATACCAAGAATGAGGTATACAAAAAAACCAGACAAAAATTAAAATAAACAGAATTATATTTTAAGCTTAAATAGCCCGGAGGGATTGGCTCCTGACTAGGGTTTGCAATCGATAATATCGGCGATAAAATTATAGGCGATAATTCGTAGTAAAATCGTTATCGGTTATCGGCGATAATTTCTGACCGATAAACCGATAATTTCAGAAATTTCTTTTCAAAAATAATTTCGGAATTTTCGAGACTTAACAGCTAAATCGCAGATTCTTACCTCCCATTTTCACTAGATTGATCATAAGATATGTGTGAAACTGATCAAAACATCTGAATTTGCTACTTAAGTACTTAAATCAGCAAGATTTGCAATGTTATCTTATCACTGTTGATTGGTGAAACAAGGTATGTACTATGTAAAAGTATTCATATTTTATGGGATAGTTGCATATTTGAATTCAACGGAATTAAAGTTTAAACGTTAAATCTGTAATAAGTATCCCGTAGTTTCGCCCACCCTATTACAGATAAGCTGTTCACTTCAAACTATCAATTCAGTTACAACCGTATAAGGTAATAATTTGAACCCGACACAGTACACACCATAACAACACAATACACTCCTGCACAGTCCACACTCCACGCCCCTCCCCTGAGAAATGCCGATGATTAACTTGCCTGGGTCGCTCATTTGCTTAAATCGTTGATTGATTACGTTACACGTATCAGTTGTTATCTGTTTTCTGTTGTGTCTCGGAAAACTAGTTAACCTTGATATGTCAACCAACGAGATCTGGAAACATTTCACAAAAGAGGGGGACAACGTGGCCTGCATGCAATGTGACAAGTCTTTTCTCAGCACAACAGCCAAAAGGTCTTACACTAGTCTTTGGTACCACTTGAGAGTTAAACACGGTATAGAAAATGCAGCTGCTAATAATGATAAATCTTCGGCATCCCCCAAAGTCAAGCGACCAAAAAATCAGTCCCTAATAGTATCTTACATCGAAAGGAAAACTCAAGCCGAAATTTATAGCCGTTTAGCGGCTGTGGACAGACTCTCTTTTAATCAAATTGCAACCAGCAGTTTCATCAGAGATGCCATGAACATTCTGTATTTTGAACATTCCGCCCACGTCTGTTGAGGCAGAGCGGACCTTCAGTGCAAGTGGACTCCTTCTCACGAAATTAAGATGTAGACTATCTGACAAATCTTTAGATATGTTGATTTTTCTGAAATACTATTTTGCTAATAAAGCTTCTAAGTAGTTACTTATGTAGCAAGTTCTAACTTTGCACACATTACAAATAGGGGGAGATTGTTATTACCACTTCACTTTTGATTAATTTACAATTTTGGAATTACGCGTTCCACTTTGTGTAAGATTGTTATTCTCACTGACTGTTCACTGTAAAGTATATCGGATCTTCACTTTCAATTGATTGACTATTTTGAAATTACGCGTTTACAATTTATGTACGATATCTCGGGAATTCATGACCCTCAATCACGGAAGTTATAAATCATGAACGTATGATTAATTAAGCCACTGAATCGATGGAAAATAAGCTAATTGTTCTGACCAAATTTTATCGCCGATAATTATCGTTATCGCCGATAATTGAAAAATTATTATCGGTTATCGGCGATAAAAAATTTTGGACCGATAATGCAAACCCTACTCCTGACCAATAACGTTACTCGTAATAACACCACGTGATGGTTTTAGCTTTGACTGTGTATGATAGGAAACTGCATTGCCCCCAAGCGAGGAAACATCTGTTTGTCTATCACCTTATTTTCATAAGATATTATTTCCCAGCATCTTTATCTTAACTGATATTCAAGATTAGACACGTTCTCTGCTTATTAGGGTTTGCAATCGATAATATCGGCGATAAAATTATAGGCGATAATTCGTAGTAAAATCGTTATCGGTTATCGGCGATAATTTCTGACCGATAAACCGATAATTTCAGAAATTTCTTTTCAAAAATAATTTCGGAATTTTCGAGACTTAACAGCTAAATCGCAGATTCTTACCTCCCATTTTCACTAGATTGATCATAAGATATGTGTGAAACTGATCAAAACATCTGAATTTGCTACTTAAGTACTTAAATCAGCAAGATTTGCAATGTTATCTTATCACTGTTGATTGGTGAAACAAGGTATGTACTATGTAAAAGTATTCATATTTTATGGGATAGTTGCATATTTGAATTCAACGGAATTAAAGTTTAAACGTTAAATCTGTAATAAGTATCCCGTAGTTTCGCCCACCCTATTACAGATAAGCTGTTCACTTCAAACTATCAATTCAGTTACAACCGTATAAGGTAATAATTTGAACCCGACACAGTACACACCATAACAACACAATACACTCCTGCACAGTCCACACTCCACGCCCCTCCCCTGAGAAATGCCGATGATTAACTTGCCTGGGTCGCTCATTTGCTTAAATCGTTGATTGATTACGTTACACGTATCAGTTGTTATCTGTTTTCTGTTGTGTCTCGGAAAACTAGTTAACCTTGATATGTCAACCAACGAGATCTGGAAACATTTCACAAAAGAGGGGGACAACGTGGCCTGCATGCAATGTGACAAGTCTTTTCTCAGCACAACAGCCAAAAGGTCTTACACTAGTCTTTGGTACCACTTGAGAGTTAAACACGGTATAGAAAATGCAGCTGCTAATAATGATAAATCTTCGGCATCCCCCAAAGTCAAGCGACCAAAAAATCAGTCCCTAATAGTATCTTACATCGAAAGGAAAACTCAAGCCGAAATTTATAGCCGTTTAGCGGCTGTGGACAGACTCTCTTTTAATCAAATTGCAACCAGCAGTTTCATCAGAGATGCCATGAACATTCTGTATTTTGAACATTCCGCCCACGTCTGTTGAGGCAGAGCGGACCTTCAGTGCAAGTGGACTCCTTCTCACGAAATTAAGATGTAGACTATCTGACAAATCTTTAGATATGTTGATTTTTCTGAAATACTATTTTGCTAATAAAGCTTCTAAGTAGTTACTTATGTAGCAAGTTCTAACTTTGCACACATTACAAATAGGGGGAGATTGTTATTACCACTTCACTTTTGATTAATTTACAATTTTGGAATTACGCGTTCCACTTTGTGTAAGATTGTTATTCTCACTGACTGTTCACTGTAAAGTATATCGGATCTTCACTTTCAATTGATTGACTATTTTGAAATTACGCGTTTACAATTTATGTACGATATCTCGGGAATTCATGACCCTCAATCACGGAAGTTATAAATCATGAACGTATGATTAATTAAGCCACTGAATCGATGGAAAATAAGCTAATTGTTCTGACCAAATTTTATCGCCGATAATTATCGTTATCGCCGATAATTGAAAAATTATTATCGGTTATCGGCGATAAAAAATTTTGGACCGATAATGCAAACCCTACTGCTTATCTTGCATAATGTGTTCAAGATAATGTTCATAATGTGTTCAATTTTCCAGGCAGATTACTTCGTATCATAACGAGGAGGTTTTAAATATATTTTTAGAAATCTGCATGAACGTCCATTGAAGAAGCACCACGTCCAATGCAAGCAGGGTTTGTTTATAATCCAATATTAGAATATTAGATAAACTCGTCTTATCATTTATATTTTATGCTTTATGCAAGTGCACAGTGGCGTAACGACCACCCCAGCTTGCGTCCGGACTCTACTGCAGTCTCTACTGCGTCAGACTCTACGGCTCACCCGCTCACGGGCTCGAAATGAGGAAATGTTAGACTTTATAATTGGTCTGGGGAGCTGTAAACCAAATCGGATGATCTGATGAATCACTCTACACTCGACTATCACGTGTTTCGTTAGGGACCGGCCCAAAGTACCAGCCAATATTTACTCAAAAATATATGTAATAATTATTTATATTAAAAGTCAAAAACTCACACAAGATTAGATATTGTGACTTACTTAAACATGTTCTTTAGAAATAGATGGCCCTGAGGGATTATTGAGATCCCAACCCTATACCTCACCAGATTCTTATCTGAAGTATATACTTATAGTTATATGCTAAAACCCTAACCATAATTAAACGGCCCGCGCTATATCTCCACCGAAAGCACATCCAATTTGATACGTATGAAATAGTAGTATAACTTGCTTTATTCTGCACTAAGTTTACGTGTTTATACCAAAATTGAACGGGTAATAGTTTAAGATCAAGGATCGAATGAGTAAAAAACCTATTTACTTTTAGCGCTTGCTCTCATAAGTCATATCTAAATATCTTATTGTCACTAAAGACACGTCACCAATCGCAATAACAAGGATATATAATACCCAACGAAGAGCTAGCAACTAAACAGGATTAAACAGGATTAAACATAAATAAATTCGTCAATGAGAGCCCTAACACTCACGTCTTGACTAAATAGGAAAATAAATAATATACAAGAATGTTCTTAAAATAAAAATAAAGATTTAACGACACATCTTTATCGAAAGATGAGACAGCAGCTGTGGAAGTGTGGAGACAGGTAACGGAAGCTATCAGAAATCAAAAGACTTTATAATTGGTCTGGGGGACCTGTAAACCAATTATCTAATCGCCTTGAAATGAGGAATGTGTCTAACTGTTAACTGGGACTTGAAATGATATATGATGTAGTTAAAGAAGACGATTTACTGAAGACGATTTACACAAGTATTTAGAAAGCTCCTACTAATACAATCCTTTCGTATCACTTATATGTTTTAAATATCCCCCTCCAGGATGTAGTTAACATTAGTCAAGAGGTAATGGGATGATCTGATGAATCACTCTATACTCGACTATCACATTTTTTGCTTGGGTCTGGGCTCTACTGCGTAGTGCGTGAGACTCTTCGCTAAAAAAGTCTGTAGGGGTCGGCAAAAAACAAGGCCTGTTTTCTTCTTTAGGACATTAGACATCCGCGGGGGCGGCACACAGGTACGTATCTCCACAGAAAGCACATCCAATTTGACGCATTCAACATATACTCTGCAGTAGCAGGGAGGAGTTGAGTGTGCACTTCGATGTATGTATAGAGTTTTTTGCTAATATGACATATGGGCGTGGCTCTCGGTGATTTGAGTTACCAATGACCTATTTAACCATATATCCAGTAGCAAAAACTCTAAACACCGAAGTGCACACTCAACTGATCCTCCCTGCTACTGGAGACGTATGCAATAGTTCTTCAACTTGCTCTTATTTAACATGTGTCGACCAAAATTGATAGGGGAATTTTAAATATTTAAGAATTTGATTCTAGAAACCACTTGGCAGTTCATCAACGGAAAAATTTAGAAGAGAAATAGGGGTAGTATAAAAATTTAAACGACAAATTAGATTTGAGCAATTGGTATCCGACATCCGTGTTCGTAAAATGAGCTGTTTTTCCTTATCTTTTGATTTAGTCTTGCACCGTTATCGAGCATTATTCGACGATTTTTCAATAAAACTTCCGATTGTTTTTTATTATAAAGTAAGGGGAGGAGATGCTACTTCACACTCCTGTTCATGCTCTGCAGTAGCGTAGGATACGCGGACTACTTCACACTCCTGTTCATGCTCTGCAGTAGCGTAGGATACGCGGACTTATGTTTTGTTATCTAATTCGAATTGGAGGCTGCATCATTTTGAGCAATGAATTAACCACTTTGCATGCAGTTCTCACTTTTATCAGACAAAACAATTCTAACGTATTCATTACTTCAGTACACAACTGGCACGTGACTGATTACTTCAGTACACAACTGACACGTGACACGTGACTGACTCGTGACAGCCAACCAGAATTTATTTTAAAGTTCAGAATGGTTGAAAATTATATACTCATTTTTATTCTCGAAAGTCTCGTATTTTGATGGGAAATCGTCTATGTTTGACAATTTTTAACAGTATTTATACTATTAAAATGTTATTATGTTAACAATTTTAACGCTTGAAATGCCGTACAAATGAAAAGTCGCAATCTTAAACCCAAGTTAAAACAAAAACAAATACCCGTAACAGAATGCTGCAGGTACATCATAGGGACCGAACATAAAAACTAAAAACTCTTAAGATGTAACTTTGTTTAGTTTACCAATTAAAATAATTGGATGTTTTATTAATCTGAATGTCAAACTCTCAAAAGTTTTTATTACATTAATATAAAACACTAATATAAAAGAATCATACAAATGTTATCTCAGTTCAACTCAGTCTTAGCTAAGTTTACATTCCTTGTCGTTTCCGTCAACCTCACTATACCCAGAGTCTAAACTAGACTGACTGGATGTCTTCTGTTCTAGCTTCTTGTAGCAGCACTGTTTAATAAGATGCCGGATGCCGTAAACTGCCGCTCCTAGTGGTAACCAGCTTAGACCTGATAAGATACCGTGCTGTAAGATGCCACATTCTGCTTAACAAGATACCATGTTATAAGATGCCGGGTACCGCATTCTGCTTAACAAGATACCGTGCTATAAGATGCCGGGTACCGCATTCTGCTTAACAAGATACCGTACTATAAGATGCCGGATACCGCATTCTGCTTAACAAGATACCGTGCTATAAGATGCCGGATACCGTAAAACACTGCTCCTAGTGGTATCCAGCATAGACCTGTCAAGGTTTGTTGTTCAAATATTGGCAATATTCCTTTTAAAATCCTTCGTGTTTAATTAATTATTAATAAAATACTTCCCTCATCCTCCAAAAACAAATTTTATACGATTATAGAAATTGATCCATTATTTGAATGAATCTATTAATTATCCATTAAGTAATAATAGTAATATAATAGTAATAGTACTATCAACTATGTTTACAGTATGCACTGAAGGGGTATCCTAGGAAGTTTCTTGAACTTTTAACAGGTAATTTTAAGTAATTAATAATGAATTAATTAACTATCCATCAAGTAATTAATTAATTAATTAATTATCCATTAAGTATTCCTCACGTACCCAACAGGGTGGTGACCCTACTTTCCTCCGAGAATAGAGGCAGTACCACAAACGTTCCCGTTATTAAAAACAGGAACACCGACACAAATAGTGGAACCTGAAGTTACAAAGTTTAGGTTTCACTGGGAAATGTAAGTAAGTTATTCACAGAAGCTCCCATTGAATTCCTTCAAGGTACGACATCACAAGTGATTACTAATTACCCAACATGTCTTGGTTTACTCTTTGAACTTTGAAGTTCAGTTATTTTACGATTAGAATAACATAAATAACCCACCTTGAAGGGCCTTTTCGAGTTTGGCTCCTTATACCGTAAGTAAAGAATAGTGGAGAACGTCACGCAGTAGAATAACCACTCTACAGTGCTTAAGAAGGGGATCAGCATGTTGGCGTCCACCAGAACATACACACTCATTGTCAGTACCTGCTCGGGCAGGCATCTGTTTGAAATATTTCCTTGTGTTTGGTTGAGGGGACTAGAGGAAGAAGACATTGTCTGAGATTGCTTGCAAATGATATGTCTGTGTGTTTGAACTAACGGTTAAAATTATATAATCGAATTTCCTCAAACTATCCACGTACCACAGTGATGATAGCTTTGATTGGTGTCTGGAAGGTTTTGTTGATCCCGCTTAAGAAAGATGGGAATATTCCCGTTTCTGCTGTGCTCTGGGTGGGGTAAACCGATAAGAAAATCGTATTTTCTGTCTTTCAAACTTGCTGGCAATTTGCCACATAACTTAATTGTTTCTTTATTTTTCAGCATAAAACATCTTACGTTCAATGGTCGTCGTGGTCATGCATGGCTAACTGGAGAAACCATTTTTCACCAGCCACAAAACGTAGAGTAATTATAAGGTGATTACAGTAATTAGGAACTAATTAGGAACTAATTTACTGGAATGAAGTACCTGAATGTTTCGTGATATGCAGCAGATAGCACCGCCCAGACACCCCAGGCACGAGACTAACAGTCCTAAGCTCATGGTTATCTCACCCGCTCTGCCAAACGCAATGAACCCGCTATCCTGGAAATAAGATTAAGTACAGTAAAGTTTTTATGGCATCTTATTGTAACATCTTATCATTTTACCATCGTATTATTTTAACGTCTCATCATTAATCATTGTACCATCTTATCAATGTTCATATAACTAAGTTGGAATGTTGAATGCCCGGTAAGAGAGAAGAATGTTTGTTTCAGGCTATGCTAGAAACTATAGAAGCTATTTGGTGTCATGCTTGTACAGGAGTTACATCTGCACTCGATATCTGTGTTTTGGTGACCCACAAGTCATTTGATTACATACATTTTAAGTATTTTGCATAGTAAGCAAGCTTGCAAATCTACACTTTCTCTCAAGGTATATTTTGTAGCTTATTCCATTGTGTAATTTGTATGTAATTGATTGATTTAAAAGATTTCAATAAAAAAAATAGTAACTAACCATAGCAATAGTGTTAGTATCGACTATCTGGTGCAGTGAGAACATCATGAGGTAAGCTAGCAACTACACTAGTAACGTAGCAACTACACTAGTAACCTAGCAACTACACTAGTAACCTAGCAACTACACTAGTAACCTAGCAACTACACTAGTAACCTAGCAACTACACTAGTAACCTAGCAACCACACTAGTAACCTAGCAACTACACTAGTAACCTAGCAACTAAACTAGTAACCTAGCAACTACACTAGTAACCTAGCAACTACACTAGTAACCTAGCAACTACACTAGTAACCTAGCAACTACACTAGTAACCTAGCAACTACACTAGTAACCTAGCAACTACACTAGTAACCTAGCAACTAAACTAATAACCTAGCAACTACACTAGTAACCTAGCAACTAAACTAATAACCTAGCAACTACACTAGTAACCTAGCAACTAAACTAATAACCTAGCAACTACACTAGTAACCTAGCAACTACACTAGTAACCTAGCAACTACACTAGTAACCTAGCAACTACACTAGTAACCTAGCAACTAAACTAATAACCTAGCAACTACACTAGTAACCTAGCAACTACACTAGTAACCTAGCAACTACACTAGTAACCTAGCAACTAACCATAGCAATAGTGTTAGTATCGACTATCTGGTGCAGTGAGAACATCATGATGTAACCTAGCAACTACACTAGTAACCTAGCAACTACACTAGTAACCTAGCAACTACACTAGTAACCTAGCAACTACAGTAGTAACCTAGCAACTACAATAGTAACCTAGCAACTACACTAGTAACCTAGCAACTACACTAGTAACCTAGCAACTACAATAGTAACCTAGCAACTACACTAGTAACCTAGCAACTACACTAGTAACCTAGCAACTACACTAGTAACCTAGCAACTACACTAGTAACCTAGCAACTACACTAGTAACCTAGCAACTACAGTAGTAACCTAGCAACTACAATAGTAACCTAGCAACTACACTAGTAACCTAGCAACTACAATAGTAACCTAGCATCTACACTAGTAACCTAGCAACTACACTAGTAACCTAGCAACTACACTAGTAACCTAGCAACTACACTAGTAACCTAGCAACTACACTAGTAACCTAGCAACTACAATAGTAACCTAGCATCTACACTAGTAACCTAGCAACTACACTAGTAACCTAGCAACTACACTAGTAACCTAGCAACTACACTAGTAACCTAGCAACTACACTAGTAACCTAGCAACTACACTAGTAACCTAGCAACTACACTAGTAACCTAGCAACTACACTAGTAACCTAGCAACTACACTAGTAACCTAGCAACTACACTAGTAACCTAGCAACTACACTAGTAACCTAGCAACTACACTAGTAACCTAGCAACTAAACTAGTAACCTAGCAACTACACTAGTAACCTAGCAACTACACTAGTAACCTAGCAACTACACTAGTAACCTAGCAACTACACTAGTAACCTAGCAACTACACTAGTAACCTAGCAACTACACTAGTAACCTAGCAACTACACTAGTAACCTAGCGACTACACTAGTAACCTAGCAACTACACTAGTAACCTAGCAACTACACTAGTAACCTAGCAACTACACTAGTAACCTAGCAACTAACCATAGCAATAGTGTTAGTATCGACTATCTGGTGCAGTGAGAACATCATGATGTAACATAGCAACTACACTAGTAACCTAGCAACTACACTAGTAACCTAGCAACTAACCATAGCAATAGTGTTAGTATCGACTATCTGGTGCAGTGAGAACATCATTAGGTAAGCTACGTTACAGAGAAAGTAACTGAGGGTAACTCCGGTGAGTCCGATGAACCCTCCTAGGGGCAATGTCTTCTCTGGTGTCTTCAGCTCCTCTGGGACCATGTCATTTAATTAGTTAATTAAGTAGAATGTAGAATCAGATATTATAATTTATAAATGAGAATGTTTTATACCCAGCCCTTGTCCCGGCCCCCTTGTCTCGCCCCTTTTGTCCCGCCCCCATTGTCCCGCTCCCCTTGTCCCGCCCCCTTGTCTCGCCCCTTTTGTCCCGCCCCCCTTGTCTCGCCCCCCTTGTCCCGCCCCCTAGTTCCAGCCCCCCTTACATTGCCTCCTACCCGTATCAGTACCTGTCATGTAGTTTAGAGAATTCCAGGACTGGAATGTGAAGAGACAGTAGTAAAATGCTAGCCCGTAGTCTGCGGGGTTAGTAGAGGACCCTTCAAAGGAGAGGGACAGTTGAAAGTTCGTTACCACACCTGAATTGAAGAGGATTAGTTTATTGAACCTGATATTGGATGCTCTACACCTCGGATTAGGGATTTGGTCCGGAAGGGATTAGGTCAGTTTGCTGACTGAATCCCTACTTTTTATTGGGACTTGCTGGACAGAATAGTATACTGTTTTCAACTAATTCTTTTCTCCAGTGGTTAGGAGAACGAATCCGCTACACTGTGCGCCCGCTGGAAATTTGAATTTTGATGGTTGGTTTATTGTTATCTTTTATTAAATTCAAACACTTGCTGTACAGTAAAACAGAAAATTTACTAAGCTCCACAAAATCATAATATTTCAGAATAAATATAACATAATGAATATTAGCTATGAAGTAAAACGGAAAATGAGCTAAACCAAAAAATTATGATATCCTTTAAAACAAAAGTTATAAACAGTCTCAATGGAGGGAATTTAAATATCATGATAGATAAAAATACCAACGAGAACAATATTTAAAGTCAAGCCAACTGTCGCCACAATGTTCATGAGAAACACAATCCAACTAGGGGAATTCCATTGGTTCATGATCTGGCGCTGAGCACTTTTGCAAATCCAAAGACAGTTAGCTCCTTGGATTACAGCGGCTGTTATAACTGTAATCGTAATGATTCCAAGTGTTATAAACTTCTTATTGTCAAAAGAAGTGGTATCAGTAGTATTTTTGGAATCAGTAGTATTTTTGGTATTTGTAGTATTCGTAGTTGTATTCGCAGAATTATCGTTGTTTGTAAGCTCAGGCTCTTCTCTCCACCAATCTTTCCCTCTAGATTTTCGTTTCTGTTCATTACGGTACTCATCTACATTCCCCCGCTCTTTCTCTTCTTCGTAATATTCTCTCCACCATTGCTCATCATCCCAGAAACCTTCCCTGTCTTTTCCCGTGAGTGAATGATTAGAAACCAAAGCAAATCCTTCCCTGTCATACATTTTAGCCACATTCATCCGCCGAGCAACTCTAACGTAGCCTTTCATGCCATAATTAACTCCCCATGAGTTACGTAAGTTGAAGTACTCCGGAGTGTATCCAACCAATACTACTGCTAATGGCTTCATAAAGCCAATACCTCCCACCGTATCAAGGATTCCGGACTGATAATGTCTGAAACCGTCGATCTCCCAATTAACTCCAATCCACAGAGGCCCATATTTATCCAAACTATCTGCAAGTATGTTGTCCGATTTAATTGGGTCCGGTTTTGATGCGTCCCCCATAACTTGAATACGCCTCAAATCATACGCATTGCCATCAAGCCAGCCTTTAAGAGCGTTAGGGTACTTCTCTTTTTCACACTCTACATCTTCTGCTATGTAAGGAAGGTGTTTAAGTGTAGTCAGTCTTTTACCATCCCTCTGGAGATATAATGCTGCGTGGTTCAATTCTCCTCCTCTGCATCCAGTATCGTCGTTGGAACAGCAATCTAATAGTTCTTGCTCTGATAGTTTAAGGAGCCTTCCGGTCGTCTTTGCAAGATGATATTCTAGAACTGCTACAAAAGCAAATATATAGCAGGACCCACACTTCCGTTGATGTGTGACGGGAGCGATATATCCTTCTTGCACATAGTCGATAGATTCGGGGAGATTCTCTCTCATAACCGAAGGTGGATCTTCACTCAATTCTTTAGTATTATTTTCAGAAAGGAGTCCTGTGTAACTTTTTAATTCTTCATCGTCCATTATCGTGAACTTGTTGACACCTAGATATGATCTTGTCAATCCGTTTGTAAAGTCCTTATTGTGCTTCTTTATCACATCCAGATTCTGAATGAATATTTGTTGGCGTTTCTTGTCGGCTTCCAGACCTTGACCAGACGATTTAAACAGCATCGTTTCCGGTTGGTAAATATTTCTGGTGTTGTAGAATACATCAAGGTACTTCCTCCAACTTTCAGAAAGACTTTGTGAATGGACAATGTCTTCTTTCACGTCATCTGATATCAGCTCATTACAACACGTTTTTTTGAACGCTAAAGATAAAACAAGAAGGGGAAATATCGATAGCATTGCTGTGAGAAATTTTTTTTTTTTGAAAACAAATAGAATAATATATAACAATATAATTTACAACAATGTATATCGACCAGATTTGAATCATCAATTAATTGAGTCCATAGGACTCATAATTAGCTAAGCTTTGATACAAAGCATGCGAACTCAAAGTCGCTTTCACAACTTTTGTCAACTGAATTGACAGAAGATCTGGTTCCTCTTATACACAGGAGAACCAGCTTCCTGATAATAAATGAAAGTTTACATCTTAAAAAATTTACAACATCTGAATAATTTTGTTGAGTTTTATATGCTATTTTCTCACACAATAATCTAAAGAATGTTCTCGCTTCTGGCCCGCTGCCACCCGTGACAGAGTACACCAGAGGACAGAAACTCCCATGTTCTACATTCAGAATTCTCTCGTTGTATAACCTCCGCTTCTGAGTCTCAGCTCTCTCGTATATTTTTTCTGTTGATGATGAGAGATAAGACTCAGAATTGGGATTGAGAAACTTTATGTCGAAATAGGAGTTCTGTCCCGGACGATAGAATCCCCTGGCACGGACGTCAGGGTGGGCATTGTCTCCTGTTAGTGTGGTACTTGTTGAGAAAGTCTCCCCGTCTAAAGTCTGTAGGTGGGGCTCACATTCTACGTCTTTGCAAACAGTTGATAGTTGTTTGGCTATGAAATCCCTAACTGAGTTGTGGCGGATGATGATGTAGCCTCCTCTTGGACAGTTTAGAGCATGGTTGATGTCCATTTTGGCCCCACAAACACAGGATTGAGGTAATCGTGGAAGGTCTTTGTTATATCGAAGAAGTAGACTATCCCTGAATTCCCCTTTGTTCAATGTGAACCCATAAGACTTAAGAGGTAGGACAGTCAACCAACTTGAGCTTCCTTTTTCTCTTGCCTGATTAATTGCACGTGTAGATCTATCACTGCTTTCATTGCAGATTAACGTGTATTCTAATTCATGCTTTTCTGCCCTCACTTTTAGAATTTTTTTCAGCGACTCGGAATCATGATCTATATCCGTTTCAATTCCGGCCATGGCTTTTACTAAGGACTTAGTCACTTCCATGGATGTTTTATACTCCTCTGATGCCAACTTTGATAAAACTGGTATGCCTAGTCCCCCACATCGTACGGGTAGCGCAACCGTTCTTCTCTCTAATGGTGTAATAGGGCATCCAAATAAAGCCGGTATGAGTTTCTCATCGATAAGCATGTCAAGAGGTTGCAAGTGTTGATCTAGTCCTTCAATTGTTCTCATGAAGTATGTCATTTTGTGCCTAACTCCATGAGTGAATGCTGCATATGCTGCTTGTGGCTGGGATTGACCAAAATCAGATAATTTGTTGATCATTTTGATCCATTCTGTGAGAAATGAATTAATTTTGTGGTATGATTATTAACGCGTTTAGAAAATTGCTCCTTCATAAAACAATTATTTGCAAAAACAAAGGATGCACAAATTGAGCGCCTTAAGATCAACCTAGGTTCTAGCTTACTTCATTCCATTTTAAAACGTTTTAATGTTTCTTAATTTCTATTATCTTCATACTTTTACAGTATGCGGAACAATTACAAAAACAATTGCCATTTGCAATTGTAAAGTCTAGATAAAGAATATAGCAAATTTCCGATGCCTATACAAAAATAATTGTAATGAAAAAGAGTCATTCCGGGGGGGGGGGGGGGGGGGGGCTCTCACAACATGGCTTCAAATTGCTGAAGTGATACACAAACAATCTCACGTGTGACATTATTATTTTAAAAAACCCCTGCTGCCTGCTGAATTACTTTCGTACCTTGACCCTTGATGACAATAGCAATTCCACAAGCAACGAGGAAACCAACCACAGCTAATTTCAAGACAGATATGACTGTGCAGACTTTAGCTATCACGTTTACCCCCACTATGTTGATGAGACCAAGTGTCACTGAGGAGTTGGGATTTAGGAGATTTCTGGGTGTCCTTTTTTTTAAATATTCTCAATATTGCTTAACAAGAATCAAACTTTAATTACATATTATTTCAACTGACCTTTGAGAACTGCTGCGATTTGCAACTGCTTAGATATCGTTAGTCGGTGGTTACTAACGTATACTAACGGTTACTAACGGTTACTAACGGTTACTAACGGTTACCAACGGTTACTAATGGTTACTATATACGGTCACTGACCTATGAGAGCAACTGCGACTGCTTTAACTATGAGATCGTTAGTTGCTGGTCCCCAAATCATGTTGCACAAATACTCCCCAAACAATACAGCTACTACGGACAGCGACGCTGGCCTGGGAGACAAAATATAATGTTGTAATTTGTTACTAGTACATGTATATTCATATATTGAGTATCTAGTTTTTGGATTATATCGCAAGGCAAGCCGCTTTGACATCGGCAATCTTTATTTGAATTTTGATTGTTGATATCAGCGGGATAAAAATCCTTTATTTCATTTCATTTCATAAGTATAATGCTATGGCAAACCGAATCATGGGGAAATGTTGTGATGCGCTATTCTACAAATTATGTGGTAGATGCTGGAACCTCAGAAGCTTCATAAAGTTCATTGACAATTAACAATAACATATTTACTTCTCACTAAACTGATGATTTTCATAAGTAAAGCTAAAGTTTGTCTGTTGCTAACTTGATAAGGAGTGTGTTACAGAAGGAGAAGATAAAGGCGAGACAGTCCCCGTATACTCGGTGAATGTAGACAAACTCCCCTCCACTCTGGGGCATCATCGTTCCTGCAGGGGCACACGGCTATTAACTGGCCACTAACTGGCTACTTGATGGCTATTAACTGGTTATTAAACGGTTATTAAACGGTTAATATACGATGCAAAACTTGGTACTACCGTTTCGAGATTAATTTGTTGTTCACTCAACGATATTTTTTTTGTATAAGTTGCTGCAAAATTGTAAACTGAAGTTTATTAATTTAACACATAGAGCTTCTAGAGGCGTACCTAGTTCAGCGTACGCTAGCGTACACAGCGTTGCTATGACTCCCGATAGACACCACACCATCAGCCCGGCTCCAGGACTGCCAGCTTTTTCGTACACTCCTGAAATTATTTAGCTCTGAGCATGTTACCTGGGGACCCCAGGCTATAATAAGTATAATGTTCATAAACATAGAGATTCGGCGGAATGACAGGCTGAGCGCCGCCCAGTAATGAGCATGGTATCTAGATTGATACTACTGGAAAACTCGGAATTCTCGGACCATTTTAATCGAAAGGAGTAGTTAAAATGACGAAATTAAAAATTGCTGCAAATTGCCTGGTTGGAATCACTGTCACGTGTCAATTGTCAAACTCCTCGCCAGATCTATATTTCACGACACCAATAGTTAAAATATTGATTTTAGAAAAGAATTTAGAAAATGTACCTTTAGGAGAAATGAAAATGCCAGCTCCGACACATGATCCAAACACAAGAGCACTCGCCGAGAGGACACCGACTGTTCGTTTTAGCTTGACAGGTTCATTCTCCTTCTGAAACACAAGGAAATATCTTTAAAGACGACAAACACACAAGGAAATATCTTTAAAGACGACAAACACACAAGGAAATATCTTTAAAGACGACAAACACACAAGGAAATATGTTTAAATATGACAAAACTTTTAAAAATGTAGGAAAACAAACAACTTAAAAGCGTTTTAGTATACATTAAAATACCTTAGGAAACAGCGTTGATAGGAAAACAAACAACTTAAAAGCGTTTTAGTAAACATTAGAATACCTTAGGAAACAGCGGTGATTTTTCATTATCACCCAGCTCCATCCCACGTACAACCTACTGACCAAAAGAGGAATAAGATAATGAAAGGAAGTTTTAACGGAATACGGATAATTTAATCGAGCGTGCTAAGGTTAGGGTTTCGAATAGTCGTTCAGGGTCAGCTAGAGAACGGGTTGAAAATGTCACGTGACAGTCGAGTCTAGAGTGATTAATCATCATCCTAATTTAATATATTATATCATGACCGGGAATCGACTTTTTCATGTTGCAAACATTTTTGCTAAACACAATCCAGCTGGTGGCAAAGATTTTTGTAATTAGATTTATAACAGATTGGACGGTTAGATTAAAAAGAAGTGCATGTGATGGTGAATCAGCTGGTAGCAAGTAACGGTTAGAATATTTTACAAGTGTTTGGTAATCAATGGAAGGCTTAGTGTCCAGTAAGAAGCATAAAACTGTAAAATTAATTTTTTTTTGAAAAATTACAGTTACTACGACGTTACTAAAGTTACTAAAGTTACTTATACTAACAGGTTAATTGGTAGGTACTGCACACAAATCAGAGAATTTACCAGACAAGTAAATTAAGTTCGATTCTTGTTGTACGGGTTTAAGGGTCTAGCGATTTCTTATCATTATTGTTCTTATCTCACCACTTGTCTTGGTTTGGATAATCTGGCACCTGGCAGTTTCATTCTTATCTTGTAATTCTTAATTTTCATATTACGTGTTCATTTTATGTTCATTTTGTGTTCATTTTATGGTCATATATCTTTCACGACAATTCGAGGAATTTTACCCCGAATTTTGTAATATATTTCAAAAATCAGGGTTTCGGTCGGAAATTTTAAGGACAGTTCATGAGAAATATTGTGCTTTTTGACTGATTTGCTTTAACTTCAACATGTTTCAATGTTGGTGAATGTGCAAGATTTCAACATCGTTATCTCTTGATAAAGATTAAGCGGAATGTTTTGCGACTTTTGGCAGGAAACAAGGAAAATGCATGTCGCCGTAACCGGTGACTGTCAAATGTCTACTGCCTAGCAATACTAATAGTATATTATTGTTAGTGTCTGAGGGATTTTCCTTATCTTCGGCGGAAAAATGGGGGAAAAAGCTCCCATACGTTACAGTACCACCAGTGGCGTAACGAAGGGCCCCGCTGTGCGGATAGACGCCACTTTAGGGGGGAGGGGGGCGCCAAATTGTCGTTAGAATATGAGAGAATTTTGTAAGACTCAATTAAACGTTACGCCATGGAGCACTTCTGAAACTTTATACAGAATTAGACAAACGGATAAGATATTATCAAAAGACGACAGGTTCAAGAATTTTGGAACATTTTGTACGTAAGATAACAGTTGGAAAATAGATGACATCACCTAATGGTGACATCACCTAATCTGCCTTTATTATATCACAAAGACTCACCCCCCCCCCCCCTCCGCACAGCGGGGTTGGCGGGGCCCTTCGTTATGCCACTGTATTTTACCATGAATTAATTAATTGCAAGTGAAGATTAGAGTATTTTGCAAATATTTTGTAATTACTGAAGGCTTGGTGTTAAACTCGATTAAATTATAAAATTTTGCAACTCGAATGGATATTCAATAATTAAGGTATGTATAATAACAGTGCAGTATCATTTGTCGCATGAAATCAGAATAATCAGAAACTATTTGGAACTCCCAAAAACTGTCTATTATAATATATATGTAACAGCATGTATAATATAATATATGTAATGGTATGTACTTCTAATGTATTGTAGGATGCGTCCTTAGATAAGAATCTTTTTGGTAAATTCAACTTCATATTGTCATTATTTTAAGATACAACAACAACTTTTAACGAAATACAATAAATCTATATCAGAGTACTGAACATCAAAATTTAGGCGTCCAGCATGTTCAGAGAGAACAATATAGGTGTTTAATAATGAATGGGCGTGGTCTAAAATATTCGAATTTTCAAATTTCGACGACAAAATCCTCAAACCAGAAGTACAGTATGCTATCTGCAAAGGTACGGTATGCTATCTGCAAAGCAACAGCTCTCAAATATAAAACACGGCGGAGCTATTAAGGCCAACATATGCCCAATGACTTTTGGCCCACCCTGTATTAAGATGCAACAACTTTCAACGAAATACAATAAATCTATATCAGAGTTGTGAGTACTGAACATCAAATTTGCCGTTTCATTCAGAAAAGTGCACACTAGTCACTAGTGTAACTATGATAATGTTCCTGTCAATGGTCAAACTAAGGTGCAATTTCTGTCACTAACGTGTTAGGCAGACATGTTTTCATAACACATCTCTACTAAGATAAATAGGTATCACTCTCTGTGTGCCTTGAGAGAGATGTTCAGTAGAAAATAATAACTAACTGAACCAATACTAAGCATTTGGAAATATAACATTAGCATTTGGCAGCTTGGTTTATCTTGTATGCCAATTAAACGGAACTTATTCTCTTTCCCTAAAGTCCCCTTGAAATAAAACGTAGTAATTCCCTGTCAAGAGGCTCAGATAATAATAAGATAAGCTTGTTTTATCGCGCGCCAATCACGTGTACTCACGTGAAACTAACAGGCAGTTGGAAATATAACAGTTGGAAATATAACAGCTTGATTTAACGTGTATGGCAATCAACCGGACCTTATTTTCCTAAACTACCCTTGAAGTACAACGTTTCGATGTAGCATCTACAAGAAGATAAGTTTTATAAGGGTTCACGTGCCCCCACGTGAAACCAACTGACATAACTAGAAGCAAACCAAACCGAACAGTAATATACGATCAGCAAATATGTGCTTATCTGCGATCCTGATAAAAATGTACGCATACATTCATCTAACAACGTATAATGTTCGTTGTTAAGCCTTGATTAAGCCTGATAAGAAACACGTAAGGTTATGAAATTATCATACTTAATGAATTCTAGAATGTATATTTCTGATTATTTTCCAAATTAATTGAAAAAAGGTATTTAAGTATTTACATCCTAATTCCCGCTCATATTGACTATAAATTGTTTGTTTGTTTGTTTGTTTGTTTGTTTGTTTGTTTGTTTGTTTGTTTGTTTGTTTGTTTGTTTGTTTGTTTGTTTGTTTGTTTGTTTGTTTGTTTGTTTGTTTGTTTGTTTGTCAATTAATTAGTTAATAAATTAATAACTTATTCTCGACTTCCTCCCCTCCCAGGACGCACTCAGTTCAGTTATAGTCGCCAGGGAAGGACACGGTGACATGGCTGTATCTAACGCGCTAGGTTCAAATGTGTTTGATATTAATCTGGGATTAGGTCTACCATTCCTTATCAAGACGCTCTACAACAACGGACCATTAGTCCTACAAGAGGTTTGTTGTATAATTCTAATTGATATATATATTAGAATTAAAATCGGACAGTTTTCAGTCTGAAATCGGCCACTGATGGATCATCAAATAATGTTATTAATGTTAATCCAATAATGTGATTTTTATCTCAGTTCACGACGGATATGGTGATTTTACCCCACGCAAAGTTCGGGATAATCCTCCTTTTCATTCTTATCCTGGTCTACATCCTAATCTTCACCAACAAATTCAGACTTAACCGAACTGTCGGTATCATATTATTTCTAATGTACTTTGTGTTCATTGCGTACTCGCTTGTTCAGGAACTAGTTTGTGACGGAGGGAGGATTTGTTAGCACTCTGTGGAGTTGTTAGCACTCTGTGGAGTTGTTAGCACTCTGTGGAGTTGTTAGCACTCTGTGGAGTTGTTAGCACTCTGTGGAGTTGTTAGCACTCTGTGGAGTGTGGAGTTGTTAGCACTCTGTGGAGTTGTTAGCACTCTGTGGAGTTGTTAGCACTCCGTGGAGTTGTTAGCACTCTGTGGAGTTGTTAGCACTCTGTGGAGTTGTTAGCACTCTGTGGAGTTGTTAGCACTCTGTGGAGTTGTTAGCACTCTGTGGAGTTGTTAGCACTCTGTGGAGTTGTTAGCACTCTGTGGAGTTGTTAGCACTCAGTGGAGTTGTTAGCACTCAGTGGAGTTGTTAGCACTCTGTGGAGTTGTTAGCACTCTGTGGAGTTGTTATCACTCTGTGGAGTTGTTAGCACTCTGTGGAGTTGTTAGCACTCTGTGGAGTTGTTAGCACTCTGTCATCTGTGGAGTTGTTAGCACTCAGTGGAGTTGTTAGCACTCAGTGGAGTTGTTAGCACTCCGTGGAGTTGATAGCACTCTGTGGAATTGTTAGCACTTTGTGGAGTTGTTAGCACTCAGTGGAGTTGTTAGCAATCGGTGGAGTTGTTAGCACTCGGTGGAGTTGTTAGCACTCGGTGGAGTTGTCAGCACTCTGTGGAGTTGTTAGCACTCTGTCATCTGTGGAGTTGTTAGCACTCAGTGGAGTTGTTAGCACTCCGTGGAGTTGATAGCACTCTGTGGAATTGTTAGCACTTTGTGGAGTTGTTAGCACTCAGTGGAGTTGTTGGCACTCTGTGGAGATGTTAGATATTATCTTCATAGTAGATATTATCTTGATACTTTTAGATAATATCTAGGCACTAGATGTTATCTAGATATTAGATATTATTTAGGTGCTAGATATTATCTAGTATTTATGTTTATTTATTGCTTGCGGAATGAGTGGTGGAGAATGGAATTGTAACGAGGAAAGTTATAAGAATAAGACCCGATCAAGTTTCGACCCTCGTTTGGTGGTCGTCCTTAGTGCCTTAATTCGATAGAATTTGATCGCTGCGATTGCAGTTCTCCCTTGGTTTCCAACTAAACCAAGGGAGAATGTGTAAGTTAGATGGAGGTCGAGAAACGAGATTTTTAACTTTGAGAATATTTAGCATAAGTTGATTAGAGACCAGAGAATTTTCAAGAGTGATTTATTCGTTATATTGGCCATTCATTTTGAATGAAAAAGCAGTCATTATATATTTTATCAAAGATTTAACTTAATCTTAATCCATATTATTATTATTCATTAATATTATACTATTGTAGGGAATTTACCGATAAATTTTAAATCAGATTGATGGTATTTCCGCAGATTTATAATGATTTATTCCACAGTGTGGATTGGTTATATTTCGAGATGATAACGGAAAAATGTTTCCGATTTTTGTAATACATTTGTAACCTCGTTAACTTATCGTTCTAGTTCTACCCAGGGATCGTCACATATTATGTCGGCAACATTTTTCCATCTCCCTCCGTCAGCAGTTTCCCACTTTGTGTGAAAATTCATTATTTCAGCAACAACAAAAAAGCACCCTCCCCTCTAATGTTGACGTAATTAGTGAAGTGTAAACCCTCCTTGAAACTTGAGATTCAGCTGTTACTATTTGTATTTGTATCATTTGTGTACTTATAATAAATTAGAATTTCTTGGCTTATCATATTCATGGTGTGATAACTTTAAGTTTACAGATTGAAATGCCGAGGTAGCTCTACAGAAGCAACTGTATTTTTCAACTTCAGTAAAATTTTATGGTGATATCCACAGCAATCTAAATATGAAAGTTGAGTAGGTTTTGTTTTTCATAAAATTTGAAAAAATTCACAACAATTTGTGATCCTTAAAAGTTGTGGAATTGGGAATTAAAAACTGAGGTTCAAGTAAGCTTAACTTTAAGTTCCTGATGCTTCGGTCTGCAGCATGTCACGTGACTATGAGGAATTCCTCACTCAGTTACGGACTGCTAGTCTCGCTACCCGTCCTAATCTAGAATGTGGTGTCAGTCGTCACATAATTTCAATTAGACGGTATCACGTTTTTTTATTAAGGCACAGGTTATATCTCCACCGAAAGTACACTCCCCAAATTGCGCGCATTGCAGTAACTTCTTTGTTCTTTCAAAGTTCATGAATCGAGATTAAATCTTTTGCAATGTATTCAGAATCAAAGTACAAAGTATGCACTTGCACAAACTCAAATCGCTACTGTCTTATTTCTCCGTGAAAAGCACAATAGCGTGGGAGCAGCTTTTGTCGATCTGCCTCGAAAGTGATCTTGAACGTAGTAGTAGTACACGTCAACTTAGTTGTACTTGTAATAGTGCACAATCCAGTAAGTTATAGTATATAGACATGTTTTATACATATCAAATTTGATGTGCTTTCGGTGGAGACCTGCGCCTTTCATCAATAGAATGAACAAAAAGCGTAGTTTAATGGATAAACACTGTTACTATATGGGTATGCCCTTACGGGTTAAAAACTTTTCCTAACAGTGGCAAAAAATGAGCAAGTTGATATTTAATTTTTAATAAGTGAGGAAGAGTCTATGCACTATGTATGAATATTAATTGAGATGCAAGAGATTATAAATTGTGGTGCAGTTAATATTGAATTGAATAAGATTCTCGTTTTCTTTGTCTTGATCGCTTCAATATTTTATGGACAATAAAAATACAAAAGTTGTTCACTAGGCTATATATAATTTTTAACAGGTGATTCTTGTATAACTCTTATAGGTTTATTACAATTATATAACTGTCGACGGTATTTGGAACAACTATTTTACGAGTATTACCCGTTTTGTCATACGTTGTATGACCCGCTGCGCACGAATGCGCGGTTCCCCCTGTATCGTCAGGACGATAATCATAAAAAAAAACAAATATTTAATAAAACAAATATTTATTTTTACGGCAGGGGGGGCCAATGGCATAAATGGAGAAAATGGAGAATTACTCATAGGTTTTTCCATTTTCTCCTGTAATAGAAATATTCTCCATTTTATGCCATTTTATGCCATTTTATGCCATTTTATGCCATTGAAAACCTGAAAAATTTCAGAAAAACTTTGAAAAATGTTGACCTAGAAATTAGAAAATTACCCCTCGGTACACAATTTTGGACTCGAGGCTTCCCCCTGGTAATGCGATCTCGGGAGCCAGGCCTCCCCTTTGCAACACGAGCTCGAATCGGGAGCTCTCGATACGAGAGGTACGTATCGAGATTGAGAATGACTCGGGCCGAAAATTTTCTAAGTCAAAATTTTTCAAAGTTTTTCTAAAAACGACTTTTCTCCACGTTTCATGCTACCCTCTTCATTATTAGCCGAAAATATTTTTTTGGTTTTTCGGTTTATCGAAGTCTGCACCTACCCCTCGATACACAAATTTGGACTCCAGGCTTCCCCTGGTAATGCGATCTCGGAAGGCAGGCCTCCCCTTTGCAGTGCGAGCTTGTTTCGACTGTCAAGGATGTAGGTCTCACTTCTCAGTGCCTATTAAGCTATTACTCTCCCCTATTACTCACTCCTGCTGTAGCCTGTAGAAATAACTTTACACTAGGCTTGAGTAATTATGAGTTTGCCTGAAGTGTGCCTCTACTGACCTAGTATAAGCATCTAGTAGCCTACTATGAGCTTTCATAAGCTTGTTACGCCCCTAGTAAGCGTAAATAAACATGTTAGGATGTCCAATTTAGGTGTTAAATGGTGTTAAAGATGAAATTTCGAAGACAAAATTCATGGCATAAAATGGAGAAAATGGAGAATTACTCATGGGTTTTTCCATTTACTCCATAGAAAAAGTCTCCATTTTATGCCATTTTATGCCATTGGCCCCCCCCCACCCCCCCCCCCCCCCCCCCCCCCCCTTACGGCACAATCAAACAATATCAATAATAAATAAATCAGGGGAGGTTCGAAGAGGTTTGAAGTGCCGAAGGCCACTGCTTATCTTTAGGATTTGAGAGTGACCTGTGCTTCAAACCCCCTCAACGTGCAACGGCAACCATCCACTACGTCAATATACTTATTATACAAATATAGAAAAATATAATAATCTAAAAATACTTATTGGTCTAGTTTGGTGACACATGCAGGAGAGCCCAGTTGAGTTTTAGTTTAGGTTGAGGGTTTTAAATCATATTTTAAAAGGTTAGCCATGTTTCAATTTTCATGGCAGAGAGAGATATCATGTGTGCAGACAGCAGAGCCGTACCGGATTTAGAATTTGAGATATATATACATATCACCGGAGACTCGCGGGCGGAACAAAATATTGCACGCGCACGCGCGTGCAATATTTCATATGTCCCCGAGGGCGCTAGCCCGAGGAGGACATATTTTCGTATAGCACGGAGGGCCCATCGGGCCCGAGTGCTATACGATTTTTCCGCCCGCGGGTCGAGGTGATGTGGATTATATCCACCAGCGTGCGCTTTTTCGCATAGCGGGCTCTCACCAGCCCGCTGTCAAAGGGCCCGATATCTCTACAGCCCGCTCATGATATAGCCCGCTAACAAGTGACATTTAATTTGACCAGTAGCAATATAGCCCGGAGTTCTCTAAAATATTTTCAGTTTCTGTATCGTCTCCATGTGAAATTCCTTATTACACTGACTATATATACATTTTATTTTTGTGTCCGGTAGGGCTGCTCATGCAGCTCGTGAGCAGATGACATGATACTTTGATTTATATCAAAGTTATTATAACACACTACATAATACACATCAGCACTATAATCCCCCTATATTATTGATATTCATCGTCACTGACATTACATTCATTATTCCCACGGCCCAGGAATGCAGTGCATCTCCAGCCCCTATATACGACACAGCCCTTTATGATTGGCTTACATTGAACACGTGACGTGTTACCATGGTTACAACAATTAGTGGCGACCTTTTCTAGAGTTGACTTTTATACAAGCTCCATTGTTTATTTATAAAATTATATATTAACTGTAATACGCCCGCTGGTGGATATAATCCACATCACCTCGACCCGCGGGCGGAAAAATCGTATAGCACTCGGGCCCGATGGGCCCTCCGTGCTATACGAAAATATGTCCTCCTCGGGCTAGCGCCCTCGGGGACATATGAAATATTGCACGCGCGTGCGCGTGCAATATTTTGTTCCGCCCGCGAGTCTCCGGTGATATGTATATATATCCACCAGCGGGCGTATTACAGTTAATATATAATTTTATAAATAAACAATGGAGCTTGTATAAAAGTCAACTCTAGAAAAGGTCGCCACTAATTGTTGTAACCATGGTAACACGTCACGTGTTCAATGTAAGCCAATCATAAAGGGCTGTGTCGTATATAGGGGCTGGAGATGCACTGCATTCCTGGGCCGTGGGAATAATGAATGTAATGTCAGTGACGATGAATATCAATAATATAGGGGGATTATAGTGCTGATGTGTATTATGTAGTGTGTTATAATAACTTTGATATAAATCAAAGTATCATGTCATCTGCTCACGAGCTGCATGAGCAGCCCTACCGGACACAAAAATAAAATGTATATATAGTCAGTGTAATAAGGAATTTCACATGGAGACGATACAGAAACTGAAAATATTTTAGAGAACTCCGGGCTATATTGCTACTGGTCAAATTAAATGTCACTTGTTAGCGGGCTATATCATGAGCGGGCTGTAGAGATATCGGGCCCTTTGACAGCGGGCTGGTGAGAGCCCGCTATGCGAAAAAGCGCACGCTGGTGGATATAATATAGATTAGTTACCATGTATTAGGGTCATCTCGATTTTGGAGGGATAGCAAGTGCTTTTTAAGGTTAGATTTAATAATACCTGACGAGGCTGATAAGTCTGAATTTTTGGAAGAACCCGGGATTATTATCCCATCTTCATTAGCATCAAATATTTCGAATACATAGGGGCTGAGGTCATTCCAAATTTTCGTAGAGGTGTACAAAAAGTTCTGTTGGGAGATATCTAACCTCAGTAATGGGACAATCAGACGAAGTTTTTCATTTCTAGGACAGAACTTGAAAAGATCTTTAATCGACTGGGGGACATCAAATTTAAGAATTTTGAATAATTCCATTTTTGAATAATTCCATAATTTCCATAAAGCCAAAGGATATACTGATATCTGGATATTATCCGGTTGGAAGAGACAAGGACAAGTGAAACAAGGAAGTTAGGAGTAAGGGCAAATTTTCGGCGTCAACGCCATCTTCAGGCTCAAATTATTTGTTATATAGTAGTGTTGAAAGTATTTTAATACTTTCAACACTACTATATAACAAATAATTTGAGCCTGAAGATGGCGTTGACGCCGAAAATTTGCCCTTACTCCTAACTTCCTTGTTTCACTTGTCCTTGTCTCTTCCAACCGGATAATATCCAGATATCAGTATTTCAATCATGAGACTAATAAACAGCGAACTACTCCGTTATCCAAAGGATATAGTGAAACGACCGTGGGGGTCACGATACGAAGTGATACAACACCCGTTAACTTTAAGGTGATTCCTGTATGATATTTGTTTTAATTATAAAGATCGTCGAGTTGCGAAGCACCCAGGAAACCTTACTCATACTGGTAGGGGCCTAACTTCGAAAATAAAAGAGATCTGGTTTTCAACAAAATGTTCGTTTCGTAAAACTAACATAACCTCCCCAGGAGGACCTATAATGAGAAGTACGTACGGTACTGGGCTTAAAGTACGTACGGTACAGCAACTTTTAAAGGTACGTACCGAACAGGCCCTATAGGGTACAGCCTTTTTTGGGGGAAAATGTAACTTTTTTCAAAGTCAGTGGAGTACTTGCAATGTTCCTTTAGTATTATCATAATTTTATTTGAGGTAGTAGTCGAAGAGAGACATAAATTTCAAATAACGGAGTAGTTCGCTGTTTATTAGTCTCATGATTGAAATACTGATATCTGGATATTATCCGGTTGGAAGAGACAAGGACAAGTGAAACAAGGAAGTTAGGAGTAAGGGCAAATTTTCGGCGTCAACGCCATCTTCAGGCTAAAATTGTTATAAATGTTAGTATATAATAAATGCTTCTATACTAGTTAAAATGCTAAATTAAAATTACACACACTGAATACAGGTTACATCAAATGGTATTATACATTACATTGAAAATAGTGATGTACACACGTTTTACACTCTGTCCAAGTACATAATATCTACTGAACAGCAGGGTCGTGTGCTATTTGTTTAAATTTGTCTTTGAATATGTTGTAAAGGAAATCCCTTAAGCTTCTCGCACTCTTCTTTGTTATTGATACTAGGTTTAAATAAATTAATGTAGTAAGCTTCTGTCACTTTACGTTTAATGGTGCTATATAAGTTAATTTCTAAAATATCGAAGGAAATATCTGGTTCTATGTTATCGTGAAACTCTGAATAATGAGCAGCCAACGCATTATCAGGATAGGTTAAAGGCCTGTTGACTGCTCTTCGATGCTCTGAAAATCTATCGTGTGCTGTTCTACTCGTTTCCCCTATAAACGGAATTAAACGGAATTAAACGGAATTAAACGTAAAGTTGTCGGAGATGGCACTAACACCATCGTCTCGACTATACATGAATGAATAACATATCTAGAGTAAGTAAA